GGACTGGTGTATGTCCACCTTGGTCCTCCCGCCCCAACACCACTCCAAGGAGGAGGTCTCGGGTGGGAAGGCTGGGCTGATGGTAAATTATGACTTCTACAGCAGAGGGAAGGAGGGTCCTTGGCAAAGACCTCGTCCTTGCAGACGTGCCTCCCTGGGCTTCAAAGAGTGACGTTGGCATGGCAGTGGGAGAAGCTTGTTGGCTGGAAAAAGGGAAGAGAGGGAATGAGATAGGAAGATCGGGGAGGCTCCTGACCGGGAGCCCAAGTCCTGGGAGTCACGGGAAGGCTGTGATAGATTGAAATCATTGTAGGCTTGCTTGCATTTTTGCCTTGCCTCCCCCTGTATTTTTCTCTGATGCAGTCTCCAACTAAACTTTCAAAACTAGTTGTTTTTCCTCATTGGCAACATTGTGGAATTTGAAAGCCATTCACAGAAGCTGCAAGTGTGAAATATCAGTCAGGCATGGGCCTGGGGTCCGAGCTCCTGGCCAGCCCACTGTGGGAGCAGGCGGCCTGGGCTTGCCGCAACTTGCTTTTCCATAATCACTCCCAGGGGGGTGATGAGCTCTGAGAAGGACAAATACAGAAGGTCCTGTGGATTCCCTGGAGGAAAGCCTTTAAGGGGGCTCGGTGTGCCCTACAGCAGGTTTGGCTCAGTGAACAGGCCTGCGGACTGAAGGGTCCCAGGTTTGATTCCAGTCAAGGGCACATGCCAGGGTTGTGAGCTCGATCTCCAGTGGGGGGCGTGCAAGAGGCAGCCAATCAATGATTCTCTCTCATCATTGATGTTTCTGTCTCTCCCTCTCACTTTCTCTCTGAAATCAATAAAAATGTATTAGAGGAAAAAAGAGGGCTTGGTGAACTTCTGTCTCTGGCAAGAGGGATAGAATTCAGATCTTAATTTGAATTTTAAAATGTGCCAAATGCGTTCCCAGCTTCTGAGCTATTGCCCTTAATATAAGACTAGCAAGTCTAGAGAGCCCTTAGTTAGACAAGAAAAATGTGTATGTTTTAGTGTTTCAAAGCTTTTCTTCTCTTTGGAGTCGAACTTCTGGGGGGAAAATCCTAGCATTTGTGGTTATGGAAGGGATTCCACAGCAGTGACATAAGCAGGGAAGTGATGTGTGTCTGTGTGTTTTCCTGCACGGGTCTCTGAGTGGACTTGTGAGCTCGGTAACCAGGAGTGAGCACTGAATTCGAGCCGCGCAGGGTTTCCCCGTCGCCCCATCCCAGCCAAGAGCAGCTGGGAGGCAGCTCTGCCCTCAAATGTACGCACTCGGGTCTGGCTCGCAGCTTCTCTGGGTGGGTGCAGGGCAGACTACACGTGCGCAGCACTGGGCGGGCCCTAAAGGACCACCCAGAGCCTGAGCCCCAGGCCCTACCCCGTGTGGGTCAGCTCAACACCAGGCAGTGGACAGGGTATGGGTAGGGGACCAGGACCACTCAGAGACCAGTAGCTGGGAGCCTAGAGCACACGTTTGGAGTCAGAGCTGTTTGCACCCTTGTTTACCCACTGATTGGCTGTGTGAACTTGGCGAAGTTGCAAAAGCCGGACAAATGTTCTCGTTCTTCCCCTGTGGTGTGGTACGCCATTAGCCTTCTCATACGTTGTCCTGGGAATTGAGCGAGGGATGGATGAGAAGTTCTGAGCAGGAGCTTGACCTGTAATGACTTGGTTGGTGTTTGATAAACAAGGGTTCCTGTGGTCATTATTATTCAGAGAAGAGGCAGGCTTTGTGGTTGGGAGGAAGCCTGGCAGGGTCCATCAAGGGGAGAGACCGTATTTTTGTTGAATGAATGATGAATGAATGGGGTGGATTTGAGCCCAACAGAGCCAGAAGGAGTTGGTTCCATGGAGAGTGAATGAAAGGCATCCCATTTTAAAGGAACGATGATTATAAACCTGCGCGGGCTGCTCTTTTAAGGCTTTGGAGGAAACAAGTCCCTCTGGACCTGTCCTCCACCACATATGCACACAAATAGACACATGCTCCACACACACAGAGACCCACACAACGCACAGACGCACAGCCCTGAGCATACACTTGGTCACGCTCAGACACACACACAAAGGCCCATCCCTCAGAGATGTGTACGGATGCATGGATACAAACAGACACACAGAGACATACATGCCATCACACACGCCATCACACACACCATGACACACAGGTGAGCTGGTGAAATAACAAGGACAGTGACACCTGTTCTAGCACTTTCACTTTTCCAAGCCTTTTTTTTGGGGGGGGGGGGCGGGTGGAGTAAGGATATTTTTTCCATTTATTTTTATTGATTTCAGAGAGGAAGGGAGAGGGAGAAAGCGATAGAAACGTCAATGATAAGCGAGAACCATTGATTGCACGCCCCCCGCTGGGGATGGAGCCTGCAACCTGGGCATGTGCCCTGACCAGAATCAAACCCGGGACCCTTCAGTCCACAGGCTAACACTCTATCCACTGAGCCAAACCGGCTAGGGCTCCATTGATTTTTAGAGAGAGTGGAAGTGAGGGAAGAGAGAGAGAGGGAGAGAGACATCGATGTGAGAAAGACACATCCATCTGTTGCCTCTCACACATGCCCTGACCAGGGGCGGGAATTGATGGGAATCGAACCCACAACCCTATGGAGCATAGGCTGACCCTCTAACCACTGAGCCATGCCCGCCAGGGCTCTCCAAGCCTTATTTTCCACATCCTAGAGCCTGCCTGGCTTCCCCCACCAGTCATACTTCTGCTAAGGGGATGCTGTTCTCCATCAGGACAAGGGTACAGGGGTCTGCTGAGCTCCCCCCGCCCAGGCCTTCCTTCTCCTGCTGTAGCTGGGGTGCTGACGTCCACATTTCACACCTGGTGGGGCTGTGGGGTGGGGTGAGAAGGGAGGATCTGTGAATGTAATAAAGTCTTTGGGGTTTGCCGGCCCTGTGAAGCCACAGAGCTGATGTTACAGCGGTAACTTTCCTTCTGGGCATTACGCATCGCTGGCTGGAATTCCAGCCTGGCTTCCGAGGTGGGGAGAGGCAGGAGGGGCCGGGCCCGCGGCTGGTTTAGACCTCAGTCAGGCCCTTTCTTGGCTCGCCTCTGTCCACGTGTCTTGGTGGCACGGGTCCTGTGGCCTGAATGGAAGCTGTAAAGAATCTGGGATCCAAGCTGGCCAACATCATCTTGCCACTGGCGGCCTTCCTTGCACTCCACGTGGAGAGGAACCAGGGCCAAATGCCCTCACCGCCGGCCACATACTTTCGCCGCCCAGCAGGACTGGTGGGCAGGGCCTGGCTTTGCACCCTGAAGCCAGTGGTGAGGAGACACGGATGCCTGGGCACCCAAATAATGGCCCTGTTCAACCTTGTGGTTCATTTGCATTTGCACCTCTGCTGGCATGTGGCTCGAGTCTCTGGGTTCCCCCCTGCCAAGCCCGGCCCCACCTCTTCCCCACAGCCCAGGTCAGAGAGCTCCTGACCACATGCCTTGGGCGCCCTGCCTCTAGGTGGTCCTGGGGAGGCAGTTGGAGCCAACCAGCTTTCTCCTCTGGATCATGGGAGGGCAGCAGCTCTAACGCACCTCGTTCTGCAGTGTGAGGACGACACGAGGGAAGGCACGTGGAGCCTCACTGTGGGGCTCACGCGCAGTAGCTGTTATCAGTTTTCATTTCGTTGGATCCGAGTGTACATGTGGGGCTGGGGACAGGGGGCGGCTGGAGGGGAGGCAGAATCAGTCATGTCGGGCCGTGGCACCTCTCTAAGTAATTGGGCATTGCTACATGGACATGAGCGGACGGTCAAGGGACAAGATTACAAAGAGCTTTCTGGTGGCTGGCCTGTGGCCGATGGATGGAGGGGGAGATGGAGGTAGGGGCTCAGCAGGGAGCCTTGCAGAGCTGGTGGTGGCTCCATGTGCAGCGGCAGGGGCAGAGAGGAGGGGCTGGAAGTGAGAGGTTAGCAGGGAGCACGGTGTTTGAGGGAGATTGGGTGAGCCTCGGAAAAGCATAAACTCCGGGGCAGCCCCCGTTCCTCTCACCCAGCGTGGCCTCTCCACGCCCCTGTCCTTCTACCGAATCCCTGTGACCCGGGAGGAGGCGTGGGGCAGGGACATTGCTGCTCAGTGTCGGGGAGTGGGGAGGAGAGCCCACCCAGCTGTGGTGAGGCAGGAGTCTGCCCCCCACTGAGCCTCCTCTACCTCCTCCACCGGGACCCGCCTCTCTCACTCACTGTCTCGGAATGACGGGTGGGGCTGGGGGTGAGTCGGGCCTTTCCAAAGGCCTCCACGCGTTCAGAATCGTTCCCTTTCCTGCCACAGACAGTGTCCACCGTTACCTCCTGGTCCCCAGGGCGTGTCCCCCACTAAGCAGGCCTGGGTCCCTGCACACACTCCCCTCCATGCTTCTCTCCAAGCCCTACCCCTACTCTCCTGGGATGTTCTCACTTAGAAATGTCGACCCCAGATACTGACTGGGTGGTTTGCAAGGTGGCACCATCAGCCTCAGGGTAGCTGAGGCTCCTCTGCCTGAAACTTTAGTCTTAGAAAAGATACACACACACACACACACACACACACACACACACACATAGAATCACACACAGTCCCGCACACACACAGTCACACACATGCATGCACACATATGCTTTAGAGTAAATACAAAATCCAAATTAGTTATAATGTAGAACGTGAAAATTCAAAGAGCACGTTCTCTCTTCTGCTGTAGCTCAAAAGCCTGCAGGAGGGCTGCTGCCTCCCTCTCCAGGCTTTGTGGTGGGACGTGGGAGAGGCTGCTGGGCCCTCCTAGTCTCCTGATGGCCCAGGTCGCCCCTGCTCCCTCTCCTTGGGTCACTGCAGTCGCACTGCCTCCCATGCATGACGCTTTATCACCACGGCCTTGTGCTGTGTGCTCTTGGGCAGTGCCCGTGGCCCCTGCAGGGCCCGGGGTTGGAGGAGGCTAGCCAAAACCCCTCTCCACACGGGGCCAGGAAGGTAACCATGTCCTTCGGTGCCTCCTCCTTCCCAGAACCTGAACATCCAGGTGGAGGACATCCGGATCCGAGCCATCCTCTCCGCCTACCGCAAGCGTACCCCCGTGACGGAGGGCTACGTGGAGGTGAAGGAGGGCAAGGCCTGGAAGCAGATCTGTGACAAGCACTGGACGGCCAAGAACTCCCGCGTGGTCTGCGGCATGTTCGGCTTCCCTGGGGAGAAGACGTACAACACCAAAGTGTACAAGTAAGAGGCCCCCCCAAAGCACTGTTTCCTGGGGGGGTTGCCGCTTTGTGAAGAGAAGGCTCCTGCAGTGGGCGCTGAGCAGAGGGGCTCCGCCAGCGGCTGTCAATGCAGGCCTGGCCGCTGGGGAGCTCACACTCCTGTGGATGCAGAGGTGGGGGGGGGGGCGGGGGGGGGGCTGGTGGGGGTGTCAGTGCCGACAGCCAGGTCCGTGACCACCGGGGCCAAACCAGGACAGCATCAACTTAAGAAATGTTTACTTGCCCTCAGTAAATGATTAGTTTGAAAAATCTGGAACTCGCAGAAACTGTTAGGAAATTCGATCAGTTACACCAATCCCAGTGAAACCTTATAATTTAGTTACGGTTTCCAAAGTTAATATCTCCCACAGGGAAAGGCGGCGATAATAACAGGACTTCGAGTAGTTCTCCCGGTGAAGGGTTTCAGCCCGTGACAAGCGGGGGGGCGGGTCCTGGGTGGGAGTGGGCCTTCCTGTCTCCTCTTACGGTGACTGGTTTACTGAGGGCTGACCGTGAGCCCGGCCTGTTCTTAGCCATTGATCCTCACAGCGCCGGGAATTAGGGGTTGATTTTACAGTCGAGGAAAGGAAGTCAGGGAGGAAAGTGGCAGATCTAAGATCCAAGCCCCCATCTCCAGCGACGGGGTCCGAACTCTTTCCTTTCAAGCCAGAGGAAGTCAGGAGACGTGGGACCCAGATCCAGCGCCCCCTCCAGATCCCCGGGGTCAGGGCAGACTGCAGGTCCTGGGCTTGGCTTGGCCGTTTTGGGTCAGAGTCCCCAGCCCACCATGAGGCTGAGTGCTGGTGGCTGAGCGGCTCCGCTGGGCAGGCTCACCGCCCCTCTAGGGGTGAGCCTGGTGGTGATCCCCACCCCAGACACCCTCAGATGTGGCCCAGACTTTCCTGTTTGCAGTGGGGTTCCCGTCCTCTGAATACTTTGGAGAATTCCTGCCAGCTGGGCAACTTCCTCCCTGGAGACACCTTCTCAGCTTTTCCTACCATTGGAGCCAAGAAAAGCAAACCCCACCCACCCCTACCCCCCACCCCAACCAGCTCCCATCTGGCTGCCCCACAGTGCCCCAGCTGACAACTGGTCTGAGTCCAGTGCCGGGCCTGGGAAGGCTGCCATCAGCCCTGCCCAGGGCAGGACGGGGTTCCTGAGGCCGGCAGCATGTGCCTGTTCAAAGGCATTTGAAAGCCATCTCCCCAACTGTGGCCGGTCCAGAGTCCTTTTCCTGATTTTGAGGAGGGAGCTCAGATCTATGTCGGCAGCGGAGTCTCTCACGTGCTGGTTTTAAACCTGCCTCCCTGAACCTCCCACCCCTGAGTCTGTGCCTTTGCTCTTTCAAATGAGGGCAGAAGAGCGCTTCAAGGCTGGGAGCATCCGGGTGCTGGCGGGTGGTATTTGGGGCTCAGGCTGCTGCAAACCAGCTCCTCCCTTGGACCTCCAGCCTCAGAGGTCACCGGGTCCAAGCCCTCCGTCTGCACGATGAGAGACCCAGGCCTGAGGACAGTGGATTTGGGGGTCACAGAGCCCTCTTCTGCCAGAGTCCACAGGGCTACTCGGGAGTGCTTGCCACATTGCTGCCTCCAACTGCAGACCTGCTCCAGCTCTGGCCACTCAGCCCCGGCTCCCACCACGGGCCTTGCTGTTATGTCAGAGCTGGAGCAGGGCTGGCTTGAGGGTGGGGTGTCTGTGAGCCTGCTCAGAAGCTGAGGAGAACAGAAGCCTGGGAGCCAGAGAGAGGGTCACCCCCCGCATGGTCCCTGAATCCGAGGCCATTCACATCTTTCCCATTTCCCTTGGCCCTTCCTAGCCGGCCAGGGGAAGCGGCTTCCCAGGGGAGCCTTCCACTCTAGGAAGGAAATTGTTTTCAAAGTAATTGCGTCTGGGATGGTGTTAGTGATCTCTCTGCATGCATCAGGCCCCTAAGGGGCTTGGCAGCCTTGGAGCCTCACCAGGGCCGGCCAAGGCTCTCCACCCTGGCTCCCTCCGCAGACCTGCAGTCTGGTGGCCACTCAGAGTCTCCCCAAGGCCGGACTGCAGCTCTTCCTCAGCCTCTGCCAGCCACCCCGTCCTCCAAGTCAGAGGCACCCAGGAAGGTACCCACATGTCCCCAGAGGCCTCTGCACCCAAAGACTCACTCAAGATGGAGTCCAGGGCTCCCCAACATGGGCTGCTTTGCTGTGAGCTTTCTGCTCTGGCCTCTGGGGGCTTCGTAGCCTCAGGGCCCATCCCAGGGGCAGGAGCATTTTGTATTGTGTTTTTTTTCTTTTTCGCCTGAAAGCAGGATCCCACTATTGATACCAATTTTTGACACAAGCAGGAATTCTGCGTCTAGCACTGCATCTGGGAGAGTGGAAGGGCTCTGCTTGGCTGGTTGGCTGAAATGCCAGCCTCCTTTCGTTTCAGGTAGAGGAAGGAATTCAAAGTATTAATGTCAGAAACATCCAAACCCGTGGAGAATTTTAATGGGTTTATTTGAGCCAAACTGATGACATTTGCCAGGAAGCAAAATCTCAACGGGTTGAGAAAATGCTCTGTAGAATGGCAGTCTTACAGCTTATTTTATACATTAGAATAAAAGGGGAAGATGTAAGGAGGGTCACATGAAATCCGTTGGTGGTAGATTACGGAAGCTGGAGAAAGCAAAGCAGGGGAATCTTTGACATTGGATGCAATGAAGAGCCAAGTGCTTTTACATTGTGGGTACAGGATAGTTAACAACTCATGTTTCCAGCACATAGAGATAGTATCTGGGCAACAAGGTAATAATGAGGGGTTCTGTGGTCTCACACTCTGGCCAGCAGATGTGCCCTGAGGGGTCTGGAAAGGAGGTGACCGCTGATAGTCTAAGGGTCTGTTATCTTAGATCAGGGGTGGGCAAACTTTTTGACTCGAGGGCCACAATGGGTTCTTAAACTGGACCTGAGGGCCGGAACAAAAGCATGGATGGAGTGTCTGTGTGAACTAATATAAATTCAAAGTAAACATCATTACATAAAAGGGTACAGTCTTTTTTTTTTTTTTTAGTTTTATTCATTTCAAACGGGCTGTAGTTTGCCCACGGCTGTCTTAGATGCACAAAGACAATAGACTGGCTCACTTAGGTAAAGATTGGCCTTTGTCAGGGACACAGGGACAGGATGTGACTGCCCTCCACGATCAGCTTTTAGGGCTTTTAGGTTGGAGAATTCAAAGGAGGGAGGAATCTGTAGGATTGGATAAAAAGTATAAGGAACAGACACACTTCTTTTACAGGTGGGTACAGGACAGGTAGCAGTCAACACTAGTGCAATAACAATAACAATAACAATGAGGGGATTTGTGGTCTCTGCTCTGGTGGGTGGTTGAGGAGTCTGGGGGTGGAAGGGGGGTTTACCCCCGACATTCCAAAGGTGTGTTAAGGTAGATGCAAAGACAATAGACAGGCTCGTTAAGGTAAAGATTGACCTTTGTCAGGGAAGATACTGGCCTAGGAAATGACTACCTTCCATGACCTGCTTTTAGCTAGAAAGTTAATTTCGGGCTGTATGGTTACTTTATAGTAGATTGCAGGCCTCCCCTGAGCCTGTCAGGTTTAGTATGTGGCCCTTTTCATTCACACCTACTTCCAAAGTGTGTAATTGGAACCAACGTGCTCAACAGCTGGCAGAACTCCTGGGAAAGCAGGGTTCCCCTTGGCTGGGAGGGAGCCAGCATGACTTTTTATTTTTAATTGAATCAGTCCAGCCATAGAATGGACAGTTCTTTCTCAAGCCGGCTTCCCATCCCTGCCAATGGCTCGCCCCTAACTCCAGTCCCTCTCCAATCCCTGGGCCTGGAGTGGGCTGCCCACCCATCCTCCCCAGCGCTCCTCTGCGCCCCCTGGGGCCTGTCTGGGGTGAATCATGAGGGAGGGGTGGGTGCCGCCCGATGGGAGCCTGTGGAGGGTCAGGGTGCATTACTGTGAGCTGACGTAAGAGGGAGGCTGGGCTGCCTGGGGAGGCGGCAGCGTTCAGCACGTCTGTTCCTGGCAGAGCTGGTGTTTCCTGAAAGCTGAGAGCAAGGATTCTCCAAGCCGCTGGAGCTGACCAATCCTCGTGCAGCTGACCCCCGAGCGTGCTCTCTTTCCTGATGTGGGGGTGTCATGGGGAACACGCTGGAGGCTGAGGCTCCAAGTGCAGGGCCTGCAGGAAGTGGGGAGGGGCAGAGGTTCCTGGAATTATCAACAGTCCCCCTGGGTGGCTGCAGCTCCGCTGAGCACACATCCAGAATTTTCCTGAACAGTCCTGGTTTCAAAGATTCCGTGCCATTGCACCCACAAGCATACTAGAATTGTTACAAGTCTCAATTTTTGGTTAAGGAAAGATATGGGTGGTGGCCATAGGGTTTTTCCTCCCTCTGTGTTCACATCCCATCCACTTTGAGACAAAGCAGGAACTCGCAGGCCTGCCGGACCCGCAGGGACGGGACCTCGCTCTGTTCCCCCCCCCCCCCCGGGGGCCAGGCTGCCCGGGGGCCAGGCTGCCCGGGGCCCCTCTAAGCAGCCAGCACCGATGCAGTCTGGCCCTCTGCCATCTCCCTGGACTCTGGCAAGCTGGGACGAGCACACAGACCCCGCTGCGCTAGGGCAGTGTGAGAGGACAGGGGTCCTCTCGGCCCTCCGCCTTCACAAATCCCGCCATTATTTAAGCCCAGTTCAACCCTACCCTCTGTGAAGTTGTCCCTTGTCACTGCAGCCACCCTTCTCTCCTCTCTTCTTTTCCGCTTTACCCAGTACAGTCTTATTTACTTATCTTACAAACACATACGTAGCCCTTTCAATGTGTTGGACACCGGTGCTCAGGGCTTTCCAAGTATTAACTCATTTAATTTTCCTAATGGTCTTATCGAGTGGATTCTAATGCTACTTTAACTTGAAGATGGGGAAACTGGGCACAGTACCCTGTCTGGTAACCAGTTCATTGCTCATTGATAGCTACTGTTTTAGAAAAAGCTTGGACTCCCTCCTCTGCCTTCCAGGAAAAGGTGCTGCAGGTAAGAGCCTGCTTGGACGAGGTGCGGAGACAAGCAGCCTCTCTGGTCCCGGGTGAAGGGTTGATGAGGTCTGTGGCTGAGTTTCATCACCATTATAATATTTTTATCAAGCAAACTGTACTTCAGTTCAGCAGATGGCATAACTCTAGACTGTCCTCATTGGATTTGCATCGTTTGGGATCTTGTATATCGTCAGGAGAGAGCTTAATAATCAAGCTGTACTGCTCATTGACAAAGGGAAATAAACGCAGGGGACGACAACAAATGTTGGAATTATCTGGGCAATACAGCTTTATGTATTTATCTTACAAATTCAGAGAGAGAGAGAGAGAGAGAGAGAGAGAGAGAGAGAGAGAGAGAGAGAGAGAGAGAGATTGGTTGCCCCTGTACCCCTGTACATGCCCTGACCGGGGACTGAACCCACAACCTAGGTATGTACCCTGACGGGTCTTGCCTCTTTTAGATCCCTTTTTGCATTTTGTGTTTATAGGCTTTGGTATCATCTTACTACACTGAGTCAGTCCCTAGTCTCCTAGCTGCCTGCAGGCGGCCATGTCCCTTCCCAGGTCCTTCCCCCCGTGCCCAGTGCAGGGCCGGCGTGCGGGACGCTCGCAGACGCGCTGTGCGGATCCCCTTCCATGAAGCCGGCTGAGCTCCGGGAGCAGAGACCATGCCCACCGGTACCCCCAGCGAGTTCCCAGTAGCCAGCACAGCGGCTGGCCCGGGGCAGGTGCCCAATGCCCGGGTGCAGAAGGAATGAGGGGTGGGTGCCAGGACCCCCGGTCACCTGCCCCGTCCTGCCCTCTGCAGAATGTTTGCGGCCCGAAAGAAGCCGCGCTACTGGCGGTTCTCCATGGACTGCACGGGCACGGAGGCCCACATCTCCAGCTGCAAGCTGGGCCCACAGGTGACGCGGGACCCCGTGAAGAACGTCACCTGTGAGAACGGGCTGCCAGCAGTGGTGAGCTGCGTGCCTGGCCAGGTCTTCAGCCCCGAGGGACCTTCGAGATTCCGGAAAGCCTACAAGCCAGAGGTAAGGATGGGGCAGGAGTCTGGCCATGGGGTGCCTGGGTGTTGGGGGTGGTGGTGGCGGTTAAGGGAACAGACAGGGATCCCCAGGAGAGAGTGAGGAGAGCCAGCCCCAACTCAGACCCACTTTCTAGAGGTCATGGCCGGCCTCACCGACAGCCACTTCCAGGTGTGACAGGCAGCTGGGCCTCTGCCCCCAATCATTACCACCCCTTCCACCATCGCCGTCCCACTCTGAGACCCAGTCCCCGCTGTGAGACAGATACCAGGCGAGCAGAGTGCCTGGTTACCCACACGGTGCTTCTGCACAGCCCCTGCAGGACAAAATGCTCTAGGGCTTTTGGAAATGCGCTACAACCCTCGGAAGCACGTGGCATGAGCTACAAAGGTTTCCAAGCATATTTTGGTTTATTTTGCAACAGAAAGGATTAAAATTTTAAAAAGCTCTCACAAAGATAGGAAATGAAAACCTGCCATTACCATATGTATGTTTGTGTACCAGCACCTGTGAGTGTGTGTGCGTGTACATGTGTGTGCATGCGTGTGTGAGTGTGTTCAGAGATGAAAGTGGGGAAGGACAGTGGTTCTCAGAATTATCAACAGTCCTCCTGGGTAGCTCTTGTACTAATAAAAGGGTAATATGCTAATTAGACCGGGAGACCTTCCGGACTTCCTTCTGGACAAAGCCATGGTGGTGGGGCTGAGGCAGAGGCGGTTAGGGGTGATCAGGCCAGGAGGGAAGGGCAGTTGGGGGCCAGCAGGCCGACGGAGGGGGCAGTTGGGGGTGAGCAGGCCAGCAAGCAGAGTGGTTAGGGGCAATCTGGCAGGCAGGCAGGTGAGCAGTTAGGAGCCAGTGGTCCTGGATTTCAAGAGGGATGTCCGACTGCCGGTTTAGGCCTGATCCCCCCAAGGGGTCCCAGATTGGAGAGGGTGCAGGCCAGGCTGAGGAACACCCCCCCCACCCCCTGCACGAATTTTGTGCACCAGGCCGCTAGTATTAGTATAAATGAACATCCCATTTCAACAGACTGGTTTCCTGGGACAAGAGAACTATCCCAAACAGGGCAGGCTTGGCGCTTCCCTGAAGAAGAGAGAGTGCACTTCTATTTCCCTCGAGAATCAGGGAGAAACTTTCCTTGTTCCTGCTCTTCTTTTTTCCTATGGGTCCCTGGGACCTGCATGTTCATGGGGACCGGGGGTGGGAATAGTGGGTGGGAAATCGCACATGCAAGGGGAGAGGGAGAGGTGGAAGCGAGCACTGAGCACTTATTAGGGAATGAGTCCCTGTGCCAGATAAAACCTTGGAACTTAGGAATTAGGTGGCTGGACAGAGGTGAACTACAAGCCAGCTCTGACCACGGCAGAGGTAGGAGGAGGGGGAAAGGTCATAATGGGGGCAGGTGGTGTATCCAGGCAGTGGGGCCAGAGCAGACCCTCCCAAACCTGGTGGGTTTGTTGACCGAGGCAGCTTCATTCCCTCCCCTTTCCCCTCTCCTTGCCCCCCTGTCTCTTCCTCCACCCTCTCCAATTGCCCCTCCCCACCAACATCAATGACCTGCTTTGGGAAAGGGGGTAACAACATATCCACCCCGAAAGGGAAAACAGGACAGAAGATAATAAAGCATACTAAGGTCCTGCCCACACTGGGGCCCCTCCCACACTGGGGGTGGAGTGTTTGGATAAAAGAAGAGGCCTTCAAGGAAAGGGGTGAAGTGAGTGTTGCCGCCCAGCATCAACCAGAGGGCCCCCAGGGGCCTCCAAAGTGTACAAACCTGACCACACAGGTGTGCAGCCCTGCGACACCTGGACAGTGCCCGAGCCCCGCCCCCCCCCCCCGTCTACCCCCCTCCCCCCCCACATGTGATTTCATGGCCACATCCTTTGTGTGGCCTCAGCCGGAGCCTCTGAGCTTTCCTCATGTGTCCGATCCCAGGTCCTACTGCTTGGAAATTCCTCTTACTATGCGGTTTAAAGCAGATGAATCAAGTTCATACCAAACCAATTAAAAAAGCAAAAAGGCAAGGGAGCCTTACATCACATTTTCCCTTGGTTCCCCTCTTCCCTCCAGGCTGACTCGGCCTGGCCACTGCAGGCTGCGGAGAGGCTGCTGGCGCTCTGCCTCCACTGAGCATGGGTCAGGGATGGCCCGCTCCCTGGGAAGGGGCTGGCATCCAGCCAGACAGCTGGGCAGGGAGGTGGGAGAAGCGAGGGTCATAGGCCGCAGGGAACGGGCTGGAGCCAGCAGTGTTACTGTTTTGCTACAATTAGAGCTCCTGAAGCCAGTGGGCATTTTGCACCCACCCCGTCCCGTTTTTTGTCTCCCCCTAGTGGCAGGGTCCGAGCAGCCCCTGAGAGCTGTAGAACTGGGTGCTGTCACAGCACCCCACCCTGCCATGGCAGCGTGAGGCGCAGTTAGTCGGGGAGAGAGATGTGACCGAGTGGGAACCTCGGCTGGAGGATGGAGACACAGGGTTTTGTCTGATCCCTGGGCCCTCAAGGTGGCTGGTGTATATGTGAATGTTTCAAAACCTCCACCTCCAGCCCTGGCCTGTGTGGCTCAGTGGGTTGGGCATCATCCTGTGCACCAAAAGGTTGCTGGCTCAATTCTGGGTCAGGGAACATGCCCAAGTAAGGGGGATGCAGGAGGCAGTCAATTGATGGTCAGCTCTCACATCAATGTTCCTCTCTCTCTCTCTCTCTCTCTCTCTCTCTCTCTCTCTCTTTCTCTCTCTCTCTCTTCCTCTTTCTTACTCTCTTTCTAAAATCAATTTTTGAAAAAATATATTAAAAAACACCACTCCAAACAGGCCTGCTTTGGCTGGGCCATCGGAGGGGTAGGGATGGGGGTGAAGGGAGCCCCGGGCTGATGGAACAGCTGTGCAGTCACCCCTTGCTCCCTCTGTGTTGAATCAAATGAGAGTCAACAGAGCCCCGAAGCCTTCGGAGTCCCCACCCCAACACACATGTACACACACGCATGCACACCCAAGCATGCACAGAAGCTGTTGCAGACCAGGGTGTGTGGGCAGATGGAGTCAGGTGACCCGGCTCCCATCTCCTAAGGTGTGGTCCAGTGGGTCACGACGCTGGTGGAGAGTGGCTCTGACTCCTACGCAATGAAGCAGACCCCATAGGTGATCAGGCTTCCAGGCTGCCAGTGAGCGTCAGGAGTGTTTAATCTGTAACCGCCCACCCTATCTGCATCTTCCGAAGAGTGGGGCCCATTGGACTTGAGTGTGGTCAGGCCTGAGAGCGGTGGCCAGGCAGGGCCCTGCTTTTACAGGGCTCTGTTACAGTCGGGTGGAATGACATCCATCTGGGGTCTGTAGACTTGGGGGTAGGAGCTTCTTTCTGTAGCTCTAAAGCTTGAGGTTCTGGATGAGGGGGTGGAGGGAAGGGCTGGTGGCAAGGTCCTGGAGCCAGGCATGGGTTGGGGGACGAGCTGATGAGGGTCCCGGTGGGCTCCCCAGTAGCCCAGGACTAAAGCGCCATAAGAGACTGCCAAGCAGAGCCGACCTTCAGAGTGAGTGTCCCGGCCACACACACACACACACACACACACACACCTAGAACAGTTTTAGCTCCTGGCCCCAGTGCCTGGGCTTGGGCTGGGCAGTTGGGAAGGGAAGGAAGGAGGTGGGCAGTGCCTGCCCACTGAACGTGCATCAGCCTCCGCACTCATCAGAATCGTGTGTCTCTTCAGCAGCCCCTGGTGCGGTTGAGAGGTGGTGCCAACATCGGGGAGGGCCGCGTGGAGGTGCTCAAGAATGGCGAATGGGGTACCATCTGTGATGACAAGTGGGACCTGGTGTCTGCCAGCGTTGTCTGCCGAGAGCTGGGCTTTGGAAGTGCCAAAGAGGCCGTCACTGGCTCCCGGCTGGGGCAAGGTAAGGAGTGGGAGGACATGCGGTGGGCTCTCTCCACGGGGACCATGGCAGAGGAGCCCAGCACGGCTGGCTGCAGGGGCTTCCCAGGCTCTCCTTGTGTCTCCTCCTGCCCGCAGCAGCTGCTTCTCTTAGAGACTCTCAGGCCTCTCCCTGGGTAGTCAGAGCTGGAAGGGCCTTAGGGAAACTGAGTCCCCATGTCCCGGATTTGGAAGCTGAGACCCAAAGAAGGGACATGAGACAACATATTAGCCGTCAATGAGTAATGGGGGTCTCCCAACCCCTTAACCCAGGGCTCCCACTGCCCCGCTGAGCAACTGGAAATCTTGGGAGGGTCCTCCAGGAGAGGGCCTCGGGGTTCCTCAGGCTGTGGACCACCCCGGGCACAAAGGAACCCCCGATGTCCTCTTACTCTTCCACTCCGGCACAGCCCCGCAAACCTCCCTGCTCCAGACACTGGGAATATGATACCTCTCTCCGATGTCATGGGATGCTAAGGAGAAGGGGCCTGGTTTTTATTAAGTGTCCTGAACAAATGTTCTGTTTGAGCAAAGAACAAAACACAAGGGACTTTCAAGCTGAGAGCAATGTTGTGGATGTGACATGACAACAGAGCATCCCTTCCCGCCCAGCCCATGAAGGCCACTGACCTGTGCGAACCCTGGGTCTTCAGAAGGAGGCCCTTCACCCAGACACTGCAGCCCAGTGAGTGCCCAGCCTCTCCTGGGAACTGTGGACTGAGCAGGGAAAGCAGCCCTCAGTGCTGACCAGCAGGGCGTCTGCAGTGCACCTGGCTGGAGGGCCCGGGAGGAGGGAGAATGGGGAGGGGGGAGGAGGGAGAAAGGGCAGGGAGGAGGTGTGCGGTGTCCTGTCCTGAGGGGAAAGGATGTTTCCAAGCTATAAGACATAGGGCCATTGCCCCACAGAGAGGAATGCAGTGAGGTCATAGATCCCAGCCCCGAGATGGAAATAATAGCAGGGACTGGAGAGAGTCCTGGCTGTGAGGCAGCATTGCTGGAGGGGAGCTCAGGCTGTCTACTCCAAACAATGAGGAATTTGAGGCTCTGGAGAACAGCCCAAGGTCATCTGAGACTTAATGGAGTTAATGGTAGAGTCTTACTCAGATTTGGGCCTTTCCTTTGCAAGAAGTCCTGCTCACTTTCAGAAGACCTCTCTACCGTCACTCTCCGATCTCTGCAGACTTCCTGGGCGTGCACTGAAGTCTGGGGTCTAGGGTGGACTTTAATGACAGTGTACCTGTCAGGCCGTGCGACAGTCCTCGTCCTTCCTGGTATGGGCTTCCCTTAAATCTCGAATATTTAGGACAGAGCATTTTTCTGGTTGACTGATGTGATGGTTTGTGCTCTCCCAAGGCCAACAGGGCAGAGACCAAGCTCGTTTTGAGGAATAAACAAGCACTGGGTAACATAAACATCCCATGTCTCCTGGGTATGTGCTGTTTGACCTAATTACTGCACTGCCCAGAGCAGCCAGAGGCTTCCAAGGGCCTGCAGAACTCTGGGAGAATGAGATGTTTGACATTTACAATGCACGAAAGAACCATTGGATGATTTACTATCTGTTGCCACACTGGGTGGGGTCCACTCTGATGGGCAGAAAGAGAAAAGTCCACATTCAGTGTCAGGTCACAGAGCAGATGGGGTCAGTCCCGCAGTCCTGGCTCTGGCTGGCAGAGCAGTGACCACACCCAAGTGAAGGCAGTGAGAGGGTGACCACTGAGAGTCCCAGTCCCAGCCCTGCCCCTGCTTGCACAGTGCCTTTGAGTGGCCTTCTGGGCCTCAGTTTTTTCTGGATTTATGTCTGAGGTTCTGTCTGACTCCAGCCTCCTGTGATTCTCTGAAACTTGTGCTTCTCACCAGGGTGGATGTCAGGTCAGAGTCAGGCACTGCGCCTTGTGGTGCAGGACCCCCGGCACTCAGACCGCATTCCATTCCGGCCGTCTGTCTATGCATCCGCCAACCCCCGGGACTGAGTGCGGTGTGAAGGGAGGGCCTCTGTCTTTTATCTCTGTGTCCTTGGTGCCGAGTCTGTGCCCAGCTTGTAGTGCTCCAGGAATACTAATTTTATCAAGAATGAATGAATGGATGAATGAATGAGTTCCGGTTGCACAAGTAGGGTCAGCTGAACTAACATGGTAAAGAAGTTTACACATTCAAGACTTGCATTGTCCAATAGAAATATTATGCAAGCCATTTACCTATTTAACATTTTCTAGACATAATTTTAAGTTTTCTAGTAGCCACGTAAAATAAGTAAACAAACAAACAAACAAAAAGCGGGAGAGCCCTGGCCAGGGTGGCTCAGTTAGTTGGGCATCGTCCCATCCATCAAAAAAGTTGTCAGTTTGATTCTCAGTCAGGGCACATGCCTGGGTTGCAGGCTCAATCCTCAGTGCTGGAGGCAGCTGATTGATGTTTTGCTCCCACATTGATCTTTCTCTCTCCCTCTCCCTTCCTCTTTCTCTCTCTCAAAAAAAAAAAAAATCAATAAAAATATTAACAAAAAGAAGCAGGTGAAATTAATTTTAATAATATATTTTCTTTACCTAGAAAATATGAAATATTTTTATTTCAACATGAAATCAATATAAATGCTATTAATGAAATAATTCACATTTTGTGTACCAACTCCTTGAAATCCAGGGTGTTATGTACACTCACAGTACATCTCAGTCTGCACTGGCCACAGTCCAAGTGCTACTGCATTGGACAGGGAAGCTCTAGAACAGCGATTTTCAACCGGTGTACTGCAAGAATTCTTAAAACATGCGATACCTGACTATTTAGTCAGGAGCACTGACCTCTTTTCCCTTAGATCAGTGGTCAGCAAACTCATTAGTTAACAGAGCCAAATATCAACAGTACTTCTTCAAAATAGACCTGCCCAGGCCAAAAACCCACTTCTGCACATGGGCCACGAAGTTTCAATCGCACTGTACGCGCGCCCGCACGTGGTATTTTGTGGAAGAGCCACACTCAAGGGGTCAAAGAGCCGCATGTGGCTTGCGAGCCGCAGTTTGCCGACCACGGCCTTAGATTATTAAGTAAAAAAGTGACAACCGCCAATACAACAATAGCCGTCCAGTGTGAATGAATCAAAATTTATACTTTTTTGTCTGATTGGCAAGAAAGATAATAATTTTTGTGTGCCGCAGAATTTTAGTAGTTTATGTGTACCATGAGATGAAAAGGTTGAAAATCACTGCTCTAGAGCTTTAAAACCCTTTTGCTTGCAATGCCCAATCAGAAATACATGTGACAGTGTATGCCAGACAAATAAAGCTGAAATAAAACTTTGTGAAACAATGCTAACCTTTACAACATGCAAAAAACACTGCTGTCTCCTAGTCTCTTCTTTTGGCCCTTAAAAATGTGATTGCAACCTGCAGAGGTGTTTGTGGATCCAGAGTCCATACCTGGCTCCCTGTAGTCACCTGCGGCCAGGGCTTGTACAAGAAGGAAGAGCAGGGCCACGGTGGAGGTGGGGAGCAATCCAGGGTACAGTCCAGAGCCCAGGAATAAGCAAAAGCTGGGGATCGGGATGCAGGTTAAACCTAGGTCAACAAGAGAAGGCGGGAGCCTCGGACCCCACTGGCCGTGCCGCAGCCAGTGCCTTCCATTGACACCTCCTGCCCTGCCCAACCCACCTCAGAACTGGGTGGTGCAGAAAATAAGGGTGATAAGTACTGGTTTCCCCAGCTCAGTGCTCTGTCTGGTGTCCATGAATATGCATGCTGCAGGAAAGCGGGCGCTGCTCTCTGGGCCTCAGCCCCCGGTGTCTGAGAAAGCCACGTAAGTTTACATCCGTTAGGCCAGAAGGAGACTAACCAGATGTTAGTTGGAGTCTAACGCATGCTAAGCTCTTGTGTTAATATTTCCTCGATAGTCTAGCAATCCACAAACACTCGTTGAGTTAGTATGTGGTCTGCATGGTGCACTGGAGAATTTACTTCTTCCACAATCACTTATGGTAATCGTTTCTGTTCTCTAGGAGCTCATCTCAAGTGGAGAAAATGGTATAATCCCAAAGATAACTTACACTAGCAAAGAGGTGATGACATGTAAGAACTAATACTAAAAAGCCCTAGCCGGTTTGGCTCAGTGGACAGAGTGTCGACCGGCGCACTGAAGGGTCTCGGGTTCGATTCCAGTCAAGGGCATGTACCTCAGTGGCAGACTCGATCCCCAGCCCTGTTTGGAACACATGTGGGGGCAACCAATTGATGTGTCTCTCTCACATCGATGTTTCTCTCTCTTTCTGTATCTCCCCTTCCCTTCCACTCCCTGAAAATCAATGGAGAAAATATCCTCTAGTGAGGATCAACAAAATAATATAATAATAATGAAAATAATACCTACCATTGGGCCAGTTATTTAATCTTTCATCTCCAGTTTCCTCATTTTATTGGGTTGTTGTGATGATTAAATGATTTAATAGAAGCAATGTGTATAGGACAGAATCCAGCACAGAGTAAGTGCTCAAATATTAGACATCCTCATCACCACCATCATCATCCTCACTGTCATCCTCATCATCACCACCATCATTATATCATTACCATCATCATCAGCACCATCACCATCATTATATCATTACCATCATTATCAGCACCACCACCATCATTATATCATTACCATCATCATCACCACCATTATTACCACCACCATCATCACCACCATCATTATTATACCATTACCATCGTCATCATCACCATTATCATCACCATCATCATCACCACCACCATCATCACCACCATCATTATTATACCATTACCATCGTCATCATCACCATTATCATCACCATCATCATCACCACCACCATCATCACCACCACCATCATTATACCATTACCACCATCATCACCACCATTATTACCACCACCATCATCACCACCACCATCAGTATACCATTACCATCATCATCATCACCACCATCATCACCACCATCATCATGATCCTCACAATCATCAAACAAATGCTGCCTGATCTAACTGCAGTCCCAGGTTGCTGCCCACTTCTCCGCCCACCTTAATTCACGAGCTGTGGCCTCCGCTTGCTTCCAGAGCCCTGTTTCGAATCTCTATTTTGTCACAGCCTTTCCACTCTGAGTCCTTGGATGCTTCCAGCCATAGTTACAGATGTGTTTTTTGTAAATTTTGTAAAATTCTAGGGAACTGTAGGCTTCATCGCTTATGAATTTCCAAGGAAATGGAACTTGGCTTTTATAACATGGGTTGCTCTTAGAAGTTAATTTTTGGCCTCAGTGAGCCTAGATACTGGTGTCTTCAGACTCCGTGGCATAGCCAAGGGCCCTTCCTTTAGGTTCAAAACATAGGTAGGCCCTGGCCGGGTGGTTCAGTTGGTTGGAGTGTCATCCCAAACACCAAACGGTTTAGGGTTTGATTCCAGGTCAGGGCATATACCTAGGTTGTGGGTTTGACCCAGGTGTGTATGGGAGGCAACCAATTGATGTTTCTTTCTCCCTTTGATGTTTTCTCTCTCACTCTCTTTCTCTCTAAAATCAATAAAACATATCCTCAGGTGAGAATTTTTTTAAAAATCATAGGTAGTCACCTCCATCTTTTACCACATTACAAGTACTTGCATAAGTGTCTGCCTCCACCACAGACTGAGCACTTCATGGCAGGGGCCTGCCTTCTTCATGTATGTGTCCCCAACTCCTAGCACAGAGGCCAACATACAACAAGTTCTCAGTAGAGACAACATCCATCCAGACACTATTTGCAGCACTTCTTTTTTGCCGGGGCCTGGTTGAGAATACAAAAGGAACACACAGGCTGGCCGGTGCGGCTCGGTGGTTGAGCATTGACCTATGAACCAGAAGGTCACAGTTCAATTCCTGGTCAGTTATGGGCTCAATCCCAGTAAGGTATGTGCAGGAAGTGGCTGATCTATGATTCTCTCTCATCATTGATGTGTCTATCTCTCCCTCTCCCGTCCTCTCTGAAATCAGTTTAAAATAAAAACTAATATAAAAAGAAACTAAAGGACCACAGACATAGTGCCTGCTCTCGTGGGCCCTCTGGCCTAGTGGGGAGACAGACAGACATTGAACAGAGAGCCACGTGAATGAACGTGAAGCAAAGTGCTCAGTGGACGGCTCCCTGAGTAGACCCAGCTGAGATGGGGGGGTCAGAAAAGCTTCTCCAAAGAAATGGCATTGAAGCTGAGCCCTGAGAGATGAGCAGGAGTTAGTGGTGAGGACTGGGAGGAAGACAGTCCAGGCAGGGGGTCCATGCAGAGGGAAACCCTTGGCTCAGGAGAAGATATGGCTGAGGGGGAGGAGCTGGCAGAGCCAGGAGGCTAAGTGGAGGTCAGATTCCACAGGGCCTGGGAGGCCCCCTGTGGGAGGCAGACACTTCCACAAAGACCTCATATAATGTGGTAAAAGATGGAGGTGGCTGCCTATGACTGTGGTTTTTACCATTAGGGTAGTGAGAGGCTACTGCAGGGATTTAAGATGAGAAGTGACATGATTCCATTTGCATTAGAAATCTCTTGGGCTGCTGTGTGGAAAATATTTTGGAATAAGCAAACGGGAGGAAGACTATTGAATTCACCCAAATGGGAGACGGCAGGGTTGGACTAGTGTTGTAGCAGAAATGAAAAAACAAAAGCACTCAGCTTTGGGGGAGTGAACAGAATGTGGTAATGGACTGCTTTTGGTGAAAAAGGAGGCGGTACTAGAGATGAGCTCTGGGTTCTGGTGAGAATAACCAGGTGGGTGGAGGGGCCTTTTCCTGGGATGGGGAAGGGCTGTCGAGGAAACAGACTGGGGACAAGCCTACTGTTGGCTATGGAAGCAGAACAACAGATGTTGCTCTCAAGAAATTCTCCCTGAAGGGGACGAAAGTGATGGGCCAGAGGGAGGTGCAGGGGTCAGGAGAGGGTCATCGTAAAGATGGGAGGTTTTAGTGGGTGTTTGAGTGATGAGGGTCAAGAAGGTGGCGAGGATCTGGAGAGGGAGAAGGTCACAGACAGGCCAGGGACCAAGATGGGAGTCGATGCAGCCCAAAGCTGGAAACAGTGGGCTTTGATCCGTCGTGATGAGTGGCTGAGTTGAGCTGAATGCTGGTCAGCCTGGGAATTCTTTCTCCCCAGCAGGGGGAAGCTTCCCCTTGTTATCTCTGCCTGTATGAGAGCTTCCCGCGTGCTCACCTAGGTCATTTGCAGGATTCTTCCATCGCCCCCTCCAGCTCCGCTCTCCACCCTTACCCATAAAATCAAGAGGCACATTTGGGTGTGGCCAGCAGGGAGCACTGACAGCAGACTGGAGATGGGGAGAAGAGAGAGGCCAGGCATTTCTTCTCCCTGCAAAGTCCCTGTAGCCACCCTGGCTCTCAACCAAGAGTAACAGCTCTTTTCAGATGCCTTTCCACACAGCTCTTTGCTCTCCTGGGTTAGATATTGGCATCTCCCCTCACTCCTGCAGGTCTAGGCTGGTGTCTGTGCCCAGTGCTAGTAGCCCCCGAGCACTGGACTGTCCTTTGTTCACCACACTCTGTTCATACCTTTATTGTAAAAATCTGTTATTCTAACTTTCTTCAGATTATCCAATTTGAGCATGCCATCTCTTCCTAAAGGGACCCCGACCATGCAGCCATAGTCACCCTTTTCAGGTTCATAAATGCAAGTTGGGAAGGAAATCTAGATACCTTCTAGTTCGTCTCCTTTATTTAAGGGAGAAAACCAATATTCAGGAGGCTGAGTGAGTTGTCCAAGATCACACAAGTTAGTACAATCCTCATTAGCTCTTATGGGAGAAGCAATTCTCTCCAGGGAGGAAAGCCTGGGTCATTGAGCTGATTGTGGGAGGCATTTGGGAGAGTTCTGAGGATGGGAGAGAAGTGTTCTTATTATCTGGGATTTTCTTGCCAATTGCAGAAACTTTCCTTCAGGAGCTCTCCTAGCCCATGTTTATTTTCTTCTCCAGGGATAGGACCCATCCATCTCAACGAGATCGAGTGCACTGGGAACGAGAAGTCCATCATTGACTGCAAGTTCAATGCCGAGTCCCAGGGCTGCAACCACGAGGAGGATGCTGGTGTGAGATGTAATACCCCTGCCATGGGCTTCCAGAAGAAGGTGAAGGGGCTGGACACACAGATGGGACCGTGTCATGTTTAGGTCATTGAGGCTCCAGAAATTGCGGGCCCATTGGCCTCACGCTAAAGGTTTCTCACAGGTGGTGTGAGGGTACTCTGACAGCAATCTCAGGAAGGTGTCAGGCTCAGCTGCATCACTATTCATGGCATTGCCACCTAGCATTTGTAAATGTGCCAAAAAGAAAACACGTATCAGCACCACTGTCCTTAGCGGCAGACATTGAGCGTCTGCCAGGCGCCACATCTGCACTGGGACTGGACGTATGGTGAGATCGCAAGGCAGTCCTTTCTGAGGGACTCAGGTCTCCAGCACCTGTGACACGCTTGGCAGGAGCCTTTCCAAGGGCTCAGAGGAACCACATTGACATCAGATCTGCAAACCACACAGAAATAAGCAAGTACAGATAGTACGTTGGTAACCAGAGGGAAAGAAAAGGGAATCTTAACAGCATTAAGCCAAAGACACACCTTCCTGTCCTGAGATAGGGCCTCGAAAACCTACATTGTGTCTCCTAGCTTGGATGTCCTTGCCTGCAGGAGTAGCCAACAGATGACTTCCTCTTCGCCAGGAGGGCTCTCCAATGTTACCAAAAGGCCCGGTGAGGCCTATGTAATGTTCATTATGCCACGAGTGTGGTCGGGTCTGTGCAGCATCTGGTGGGTGGCACGTCGGAAGAGCTTTCTGAGTGCATGTTTTAAAATGAGCAAACATTGGGACGAGGTGGCTGAGTGGTTAAGGCGATGGACTGCTAAAATGAGCAGACATGGCCTTGGCTGGTTTTGCTCAGTGTATAGAGCATCAGCCTGTGGACTGAAGGATCCCAGGTTCAATTCTGGTCAAGGGCACTTGCATGGGTTATAGGATCAATCCCCAGTAGGGGGCATGCAGGAGGCAGCCAATCAATGATTCTCATCGTTGATGTTTCTGTCTCTCTCTCCCTCTCCCTTCCCCTCTGAAATCAATAAAAAATATATATATTTTTTAAATGAGCAAACATGGACACATTAGGGTGCAGGACAGTTCCCCAGCTGGGCTCCTGCTTGGACAGTGATTCTTGACCTTAGCACCAGGATGCCAAAGGTGCTACTGAACTTGTGCAACTCACTGCCCAACAAGCCAAAAATGGGCACCCAATTGCACTTGGACAAGCCACACATTTGCTGGTGTGTGAGCAGGAGTGTGGGCCACAGCCTCACAGCGGCGGGAGGGCCGGCATTTGTGATTGCCCAGCAGCATTCTGATAGCCATACCAGAGCTGTAAATGCCGACTGCGCTGAGTCTGGCTTGCTGTGGCACCATTCACTTCAGACAGATTGGAGTTGGGTGGAGTGGGGTTTTCAATCCAAATGAAAGATCTGGGCCAAAGGAAGTGAAATTTTCCAGAACTATTTTATGGTGGGAATTGCTGAGCCAGGCCCAGTGATGGCAGCAGAGGCACCAAACTCCCGGCACAAACAGCCCTCACCCTTTCGGGGGCCCTCCAGGCTCCAGGAGGTGGCCCCTGCTCTCAGCTACAGCGTGTGGGAGAGTTTTACACCTAGATCTGCTGTTTCTGCCCCCTGGGAAGGAATGAGGATAGTCACCTCTGAAAGAAATCCCTACGGGCTGCACCAGTTCTCGCCACAGCAGACGGTCAGGCTTCTGCACGGCCAGCTTAGGGCCCCCAAACGTACTGGCAGCAACACTGGGCAGAGACTCCTGAGTTTTATCACTGTTAGTTTGCTGGCACTGGCAGAACAAAATACCACAGACTTGGGTAGTTTAAATAATAAAAATTTATTGACTCATAGTTCTGGAGGCTGGAAGTCCAAGATCAAGGTGCTGGCAGGGTTGGTTTCTCCTGAGGCTCTCTCCTGGGCTTTCAGTTCTCACTGTGTCCTCACGTGGCCTTTCCTCTGGGCTTGTGCATCCCTGGTGTCTCTTCCTCTTCTTTCTAGTAAGAACACCAGTCAGGTTGGATTAGGGCCCCACCCATATGACCGCATTTAACCTAATTACCTCTGAAAAGGCTCTTCAAATACAGCTGCATTAGGGATTAGCATATTAATTCAATGTATGAATTGGAGGGGGGAGGGGCACACATTAGTTTATAACAAACACTCACTAGCCAATTCCTTAATCTCTTTGAGGCTTCAGTTTGCCCCTCTAGCAATAAGGACCTAAGAGAGATGATTCCTAGAAAAATCAGTTGACTTTTCGTGGAATGGCTAATGCAGGCCACAGACTTGGAGCTGGTTGTCTATCCAGCCACAGCCGAGCCAGAGGCATCAGGAAGACCAGTGTCGGCCTCCTGAAGGCCAGGCCTCTTGCCTGACTGAGCCCTTCCATCTGCTCTGAGGAGCGTTTTGTTTTCTGATCGACTCGCAGCTGATAATGATCATAGCTAAGACGGTGCCTAACATTTCTTGAGCACTTCCTGAGTGCCAGGCCCTGTCTGAGCTCTGTCCGTGAACTATCTCATTTTATTCATCTACTCAACAACCCTGGGAGGCCGATGGAACATTGTGGCTACCCTTGGCTTGTCTCTTTGCCAGCTGACCTATTGACCTTGCAGCCCTTAAGTCCATAACAGGAATTAAGACCTGTGCCCCAGGGGCCATGCTGTTGCTAAGGACTGTTGACCAGGCAACTTAATGTGCTGGGGATTCCTGGAGGTGTCATGCCTTATCCCAAAGGCATGAATTGTTAGAAGCATGAAGGGTAACAAGGTACTGTATTTGGATTAAGGCTTGCATTTTTAGAACCCTTCCCCAAATGTCAGATCTCCCTGCTTGATCTCATATAAGTTGGTCCATGCTTCCATTCTGTAAGACTGATAATTTATTCATTCATTCCAAAAAATGGTTGTGGAGTACCTAACATTCCTGAGGTGCTGTCTTTGATATTGATCACACAGGAAAATAGACAAAGTCAGCTCTGCCCTTGGATCTTACATTCTAGCGGAGGAGACAGACCTTAAACAAATTGTAAGGTAGCTTAAGTATAACTGTCACAAGTGCTAAGGGGATGTGTAGGTGTTTTGTGCTGGGCTCAGCCTACCAGTAGCCAGTATTGTGGTTGGACTGGCCCCTGTGGTTCTTATTATGATTACAAGATGCCCTTCAGCTATAACCATCAGAGACTTTTGAAAACATACAGGTTTATTACTCACAGACTGAAATTACACAGCACACTTGGGGCCACACAAGTGAGGTCACAGGTAGAGAGAGAGAGTGCTAAGGGCAGGGGTTCTGATTTTATTGGGGTCAAGGGTGGGGACCGAGGGTTCTGTGGGCTCACTTTTTATTGCTGGCTGTAAAAATAAGAGATGGGTTTTAAAGCACAGGTAGGAAAAACAAGTGGCCCAAATGGTCAGTTATAAAAATCAACCAAGATCTCTGAAACAAAGGGGCCCCCGTGGGCACAGGGGCCTGGTTCTTTATCTGGTCGAATGGCTGGCAATGTGCTCATTTGAGATGGGCTTCTTGGAAGGAGACACCTTGGTAATCAAAGCCTAAGGCGGGCGCTTGCCTTGCACAAAGGGAAAACCCACGGTCAGGCTTTCACCACAGTGGGAGCCGTGGAATGTAAGGGGCACTGACCCCAATCGGAGGGGAATGTCGGTGGGTATGAAGTTGGAAAGAGGAACAGGATCAGCCGGGAAAGGGCCTCTGTGTGTAGTGGGCTTCCATGTGAAATGTGTGACTTACCGTGGGACATGGTCAGGAAAGTTAGGGAGCCACGGAAACTGAAAGGAGACCCACGGCCTGGAGGTCGGGGAGAAGGATGAGGGAGACGCGGGACAGGCGGCAGAGGAGAGCAGTGGAGCCTGGGAAGCCACTCACCTGTTCTAAGCGGGGGAGGGACCGGAGCAGGTGCTGCTTAAAAATGACTGGCTTCTGAGTAGAATGGGCTTCTCTGGACTCATGGTTTGCTTCTTTCTCATGGATCCTGTGCGTTATATTAATTATATTAAAGGTTTCTCTCTTTCCTTTGACGGGGATGAAAGCAAGAGTAAAGGCGAGAGATGGTGGTGCCTGGGAGAAGGGAGGGAAGTAGGTGGGCTGGAAAGAGACTTGGGAGATAAACTCCACCGGGATGTGGCGGGAGAGAGAGAGAGGGGGAGAGAGAGAGAGAGAGAGGGAGAGAGAGAGAGAGAAAGAAAGAAAGGGAGATGTTAAGGATGCTTCCCAGATTTCTGGCTTGAATAACAGAATGGATTAGGGATCAGCAGACTACAGCTTGCAGGCCAGACCCACCATTCCGCCTGTGTTTGTAAATACAGCTTTATTGGAACACAGCCACGCCCAGTCATATGCATGTCGTCCGTGACTGCCTGCACACCACATGGCAGAGATGTGCTTACGACAGAGAGCACACGCCCGCAAAGCCTAAAATACTTACCAGCTGGCCTTTGTGCAAAGTTCGCTGCCCTGGGACAGATGATAGTGACTTTAGCTGAAATAGGGAACAAGCGGAAGATATAGCACAGGGTTAGGTGGAGAGAGAAAAGAGGACAAGTTCGGATTGGGAGTCTCAGAGGTACCAAGGGTAACTTTCTAATAGGCAGTTAGCTCTATTGGTCCCAGAAGAGAGTTCTGGGTGGAGAAGGCAGCAGGGGGCTCTGTGGGAGGAGACAGGATCAGGAGCTGGAACCAGCCAAGCAGAGGGTGTGTGAGAAGAGGGTTCCAGAAGAAATCTTGGGGAATTCTAACATTTTAGGGACCCTGAGCGCGTCCTATCAAGTGTCTGATTCTAAGAGCAGCTCCCCACCAGTGGACTCCAGGGGAGCAGCGGGGAGCCAGGCAAGCACCTGACCTGAGCTTTGATTACTGAGGCATCTCCTTCCAAGAGGCAGGTTCTGCTGTGGTACCCTGTGGTGGTCCAGGGGCCTCCTGGCTACACAGGCGAGGGCCGCAGGCTGCCTGCGGCGGAACCTAATGTGTAAGAGCATGGCTCTGGGGGATGCTGTTGAATTGAGTGTCCCAGGCAGGACCCTCTGGGAGAACTGGGACCGGTGGCAGGTCAGTGAGGCTGCTCCTCTCCATCCCTCCTGGTGACCATGCCTGCCTTTCTCTCTACAGCTGCGCCTGAACGGGGGCCGAAACCCCTTCGAGGGCCGGGTGGAGGTGCTGGTGGAGAGGAATGGGTCCCTTGTATGGGGGACCGTGTGCGGCGAGAACTGGGGCATCGTGGAGGCCATGGTGGTCTGCCGGCAGCTGGGCCTGGGGTTCGCCAGCAACGCCTTCCAGGTGAGAAGCCCGGGTTTCCGCCCCTCCATCCAGTCTGATCCTCCCGCCTCTAGTCAGCCCCCGTCCCCCACGGACCTTCCCCAGCCACCCAGAAGGAGGAGAGCCATGCGCCACGGGCTGGGTGGGAGGCCCCTCAGGACTCTGAGTCCCGGGGTGGCTCAACCTCTGCTTCTCCTCGCTGCAGAGCGAGGGCCTAGACTATGGTTTCCCAGTCCACTCAGTTTGCACTGGGATTCACCCTAATCTTGGGGTGTCCTTCTATGCCCTTTGCAGAGGGAAGCAGCTCAGTCCTACGGGGCAGTGGACACCACCCAGGCCGAGGCCCAACACGCCCGGGGCCTTAGCTTGCTCCCTGGGAGGCCCAGCTGTAGCCCCTGCTCATGCGTTCTCGGGTTGATCGGCTGCTAAGTTCCACGCCCGTCCAGATCCCTGTCACAGCCGCTGCACCTTCCTCCCGGGCCCCTTCCTCAGAGTGACTCAGCAGAGGGCAGCCAAGCTCCTGCCCTACCGAAAGGCAGCAGAAGAAGACAAGTAGCATTTAGCTTCAAAAATTATTCCCTCTGGGCCCTACTGTGAGGGAACAGGCACCCCCAGAGTGGAAGAGTGTCAGAAAGAGGCTGGGGTGGGGCAGGAGACAGAAGGCTGGAATCTTCCCAGCTGTACTCCCAACAGCCACGGCATAACGATCTGGGCAGAGCAGCTACCTTTCCAGGCCTCACTTTTCCTCCTGTGACTTGGAATGGACAGTCCCAGGTCCATAGGCCCCTGGCTCCAAACACTTTCCTTAAGCTTCTCACAGAGCAGGAGAATGGCTGGAGCACCCCGCCCCCCGCTTTGCTAACCCTGACTCCAGCTCCCGTGCCCAGGTGGCCCTGCTAGGGAACAGGGATTCTAAGGGCGAGACCTGGAAGAAGCCTGGCAGCCTTGCTGAGCCTGACCGCCGTCAGGTCCGGGAAGGCAGTGAGCCCGGAGCAGGGCTGCCCCGTGGCCTCTGGCACTACTACCCACACCCTCTGGGAGCCGGCTCCCTGGGCAGCACAGCCTCTCCGCTAATACCGCCTGTGACAAGCCAGGGCACTCTGTCTCTCTCAGGAGAGCAGAAAACAGTGCTCATTACACATAGTGGCTGTCTGGCTATCTTTGTTCCTTATCAGCCCATTCCTAAGACATCTGGGCCTCAGCTGGGGTTGTGCATTGGGCCTGCATCTGGTATCTATCCCTTCTCGAGGCCCCCATTTTCTATTCAGAGGATGAGGGATGTATAGTCAGGTTCTCTATATGTATGGATAGCAAACTAGCTACTGCCATATATGAATACATTTTTTCTCTCCTGCCCGTTCTGATCAATTGGTAGTGTCTTCCTGGGGCATTATGTTGAGAAGGATTCTGAGATCGCAGTCAGACTCGGAGGAGAGTGCTGTGATTGATTAGTAATGTCTGCCCTGGGCTCAGGATAAGTCAGTGGCAGCATGAGTTGCAGGTGCCGGCCATTCCTGACACACAGCACTGAACAGTTGTTTGACCAAAGCTACTTTAGCAATGCTCTCCAGGGTAGAGGGGGTGTGACAGACTCCAGTGCTCATGGTCAGAAGACCTGGAGTCTCACTCACTCTGCCACAACAAGCTGCATGGCTTGGGTAAGTGCTTCTTGGTGCCTCAGTTATCTCCATCTGGCAAATGGGATCATAAAGCGTTGAGACTTTTGTGAGGCTGAACGATGATCTATAATAATAAAAGTGTAATATGCTAATTAGACCAGAAGTCTGGCCCCGATTGCTCGGCGCTATCAACGGGTGCGAGCGGTGGCTGCCAGCCCCAGATGCCCCTCAGGGCTTCTCCACCTCCCCCTGATCCTGAGGGGTGATCAGTGCTGGTAGCTGCCTCTCCCACCCACTGCTGGCGACAGCCCCGCTTGCATCCGCTGCCAGCGCCATAGCTGCTGCTCGCACTCGCTGCCGGCGCCTGGAGCCAGTCCTGATCGCTTGGCACCGTCAGCGGGTGTGAGCTGTGGCTGCCGGCCCCGATTGCCCCTGAGGGCTTCTCCACCTCCCCCTGCTCCTGAGGAGCGGTTGGGGCAGTAGCCGATGCTTGCACCTGCTGATGGCACCGGCCCAATCACTCTGCACCATCAGTGGGCGAGAGCAGAGCCAGCGCCATCAGCATGTGGGAGTGGTGGTGGCGGGAGCAGGGCTGCCAGAAGACAGGGGACCTGGGGCCGCAGCTGGAGGGGCCAGGTGGGGGCGCAGAGGATAGGCTGAGACCTACCCCTGTGCCCACCCACGGCAGCCTTGCAGCCCACAGTTCCTTTCAAAGTGCACGAATTCATGCACTGGGCCCCTAGTAGAATATAAGAAAGTGACCATTCAAGGTGACACACTGGCCATTTCTTTTGTTGACTCCCCAGGAGACCTGGTATTGGCAGGAAAACATCAATGCCAACACAGTGGTCATGAGCGGAGTGAAGTGCTCGGGAACGGAGCTGTCCCTGGCGCACTGTCGCCAGGATGAGGACGTGGCCTGCCCCCAGGGTGGAGCACATTATGGGGCTGGAGTCGCCTGCTCAGAAAGTGAGTTCCTGGGGGTCGGATCCACCCTCCCTGCCAGGCTCCAGGAAAGGACCAGAGTCTCAATGGTTATTCCTCGCAAGGCTCTGGGGCCTCTGCCACTGGCTGAGCAAAAAAAGGAACGCAGAGGTTAATTCTTGTTAAGTAAGAAGGTGGGGGCAAAAGGGACTCCCCCAACCCCACCCACAGAACCTTGCTTGATGGCTGAATGGGTTAGGGTTAGGGAGTAACCAGGGTGTCTGGGGGCCTTCGGTTCGAATCTCAGAGCCACTGTAGACTCTTTAAGCAAACTTGGGCAAATTACGTGGCTGAGAATCCTTGCTCTTAGCAGGAGGATGGTTCTGAGGTTAGCAAAATATGAAGACCATGCTAGGTGCTCAGCGCACACCACTTCCCTCCTTACCTTCCGCCCTCCTCTGTAGGTCATTTTCTGTTGCACAGCCTGGAGGTGATTTTGCTTCCTGGTGACTCCCTGGGCATTCTAGAAAGACTGACAATATAGAAGGGAAAACCCTGCCAGGATTCAGAATGACCGAGAGAGTGCAGCCTCCCTCCCATTCTGAGCGAGAGGACCAGGCATATCACCTCCTGATCCCCAAACTCCACTCTCCCCACCCCGGCCTTGTAAAACCACTCCCTCGTGAATCAGGGAGGCAGGAGAGGCCCAGGATCTGAGACCAGACCCTGCCTGCCACTTACTGCTGATCTTGGCAAAGTTAGTTAACCACTATGATCCACAATTGTTTTTTCGAGAAACTGAAACTTAAACATGACAATGACTGTATGCAGGTGCTTGATAAAAAAATGATGCGCTGTCATCTACTATCACGGAGCACGAGGGAGAAGATTAAACCTTGAGCTCAGTCAATTCAAGTCTCTCATCAACGCCCTTAAGACTCACTCAGTATTTCCTCAGCCTGTTAAGGCAGGACGCTGGATGCCAGCGCTGGCTTCTTCGGGCAGACGTCCCAAGCTATTGCATCCTGTCTAAGAGGAGAGCCTGAGATCATCACCCTTACAGTCCCCTGGGGGAACACATCCAAGCAGAGAGAGGCAGTCTCACCGCTGTCATGGCTTATTAATTCATTTATATCTGTAATACACCTCCTCCTCCCCCCCCCCCAAAAAAAGGGCATTTAGATAACATAAACCTAAATAAAACTCAAGGTAGCATAAAATAAAAGCAGATGAAAGAAAAGTAGATATTGGCAAAAAGACTAAATCTACATGCAATATTACACACATTGGAAAATAGATCTATATCACTCCCAAAAAAATCGGACCCACGTATTAGAGGGTTTTTTTGGGGGAAAGAGAACATTGTTATTGTTTGTCATCATCCTTATTATTGTTTGCTTTTCATATGGGACATCTCAAGCTACTCAAAAGCAGAGAGAATAATATAATGAACCCTAATGGACCCGTTATAGATTGCACAATTTCCAGTGTTTTGCCCATCTGCACTGATACCTGCGGAGGCGTCCAACAGGACACTCAGAAGGGGAAGAGGAAGGTGGGCTGGTGTTCCTCAAGGACGGTGACCTTGAGAGCGGGAGACCGAGAGTCAGTTCCAGAAGGTGGTGGTAGGCAGGCAGGGACAGGGGTTTGTCTCAGTTCAGGAAGCAGAAGTCAAACGCTTGGGAAGGGGTGAGGGGTTTTGGCTCTTGCTTGAGCACAGTGTCTGCCCTCCGCAGCCGCCCCTGACCTGGTCCTCAATGCGGAGATTGTCCAGCAGAGCACCTACCTGGAGGACCGGCCCATGTTCATACTCCAGTGCGCCATGGAGGAGAACTGCCTCTCGGCCTCGGCTGCCCAGACCAACCCCACCACGGGCCACCGGCGGCTGCTGCGCTTTTCCTCCCAGATCCACAACAATGGCCAGTCCGACTTCCGGCCCAAGAACGGCCGCCATGCGTGGATCTGGCATGACTGCCACAGGTGAGGCCTCCCTTCCGTCTGCAAGGCCCCGATGGGACTGAGAATCACAGGGTCACAGAGAGACCTCACAGTCCAGGGGGCCGGGGTTCCTAAGTTGGAGGGAGTCGGTCTGCCACACTGGCCTGCCAGTCTCCACTCCCAGTCGCCCTGGCCCACCCCCCCTTCCCTGAGCCCATTCTCTCTGGCCTCCCATGCCTCTAACATAGGAAAGAGGCCTCATTTTGAGAACCCCATGCCCCTCCACTGACCTGTCAACAGTGTTCAAGTGTGTACACAGGAGGTTGGTCCTCTACAGGGTGCTTGGGGTCTGCAATGATTGGACTCTAGGTTCACTTAAAAATATATTTTAAATACCAGTATGTGTTTTAAATATTTCTAGGAAGACAGTGGGTTTGGAGAAAAGTGTTCTAGCCCCAGGAGTCCAGAGACCTGGTCTCTCAACCCCGCTGTGCCTCTAACAAGCTGTGCGATGTCAGGACATCTGGGCCACGTCACCCAGGACCTCTGCTGTCCCTTCCAGGCCCCCGTCTGTGGGTCGGATCCCAGGGCTGTAAATCCCGGACAAGAGCAGAGTGAAGTCCTGGAGCCAGCTCTAGCTGGAACCAACAGAAGCCACCTCATTCATCTCCTGCATTTTCCTTTATTTTTTTCTTTGCCTTGATTCTAACTCTAATTCAGAGCCCGCTGCCCCTGCTTGTTCATGTTTTCCTGCTCAGACCTGGCTGGGCAGGTAGAGGGAACAGAAGGAGCACACTTTTGAAAAGGAAGGGAGGCAGGCCCAGGCATGGGTCCAGTGAGTGCCCTTCTCTGTCCTCAGAATCCCATCTACACAGCAGAGCTTTGGCACGTGGTCCCTGCTTCTCACAGCGAGGCCACGGGCTGGCGTGTCTGCCGTCACTGCTACGCCCCAGGGCCCGGTGCGTTCGAATCTAATCTAGCAGGATCCCCACGCGCTTGTGTGCACACCACAGCCTGAGAAGCCCGGTCTAACTCATCTCCAGGCGTCCTTCCTGCCCTATAATGTGGTGATCACTGGTAGGGACCCCCTCTAAGTGCCAGGCACAGGGCACCCTCACTTTCAGGGGTAAGGAGGAGGCTCCGTGTTGGTGTGACACAAGAAGTTACTGGGCAGGGAACCCCACTCGGGCCGTCTGACCCCAACGTGTGTGCTCTTTCTGTCCCCTCCGCCGACCCTCCATCAGAAACCTGTCTGCTTTATCACAGAACAACTGAGGGCCTAGTCACATTCGAATCAGTTTGGGGATAGAGTTGTTCAACTCATTTTGAAGGAAAGGACTAGGGCAGAACGTAGGGTTGCCAGTTTTCCTTTATAACGACTGTCCCTATGTTCTGACAGTCGTCATCGGCCAAAGAACTTGTGCTTTTCATACGGAAGCGTGTTGGTGCAGGGTGGAAGGCAAAGGGTAAAATGAGAGTCAGGACCGCCTTGGTGCCTGATTTCTGTGGGGAACACATGGAGGAGGCCTGGGCCTGCGGGCGGACACCGCCTGCGCGTCTATAAGTGGAAGATAATTGCATCTCTGCCCCACACATGACGGTCCACCCAGACATTACATGGCCCGCGTGTCTGTGCGACACATGCTGGCTCTCCTCTGAGAAAGCACCAGGGGACATCGCGGAAGTGCTGCTCCGATCGCCGCCCCTGCTTTTCCTGGGGTCTGTCATTTCCTTGCTTACACATGTTCCAGTAAATGGTTTGGGAGGCTGGGCGGGGAAGAACATGGGGCTGAGCACGTGTCCCTTCAGACCTCCCCTGCTGGTCTAGAACTGAGAACCTGTGGCCAGAGGATCTGGGGAGCATGGGAGCCCCGCCCAGCCCCCAGAGCTCTGGGGACTCCCCAGGCTCCGCGGGAGGCCTTTCTACAGGACTCCTGGCCCCAAACCTTTATGGGGTCCCTGTGGGAGTCTGATGAAAGCTAGCCCTTCCTCCACTCAAAAAAATTATTTTTTTCTAGAATATTTAACATCCTGGCTCAGCAGATCTACAGATACTCTGAGCCCATCTCTGGATCCAAAGTTGAGAACCCTGGTTCGAATTAGTGCAAATGAGGAAAGCCATCGCTCCCAGCTGAATGGGTCCTACAATGAGAAACAGGGCTATGTTCTTCGAAAGCCCCAAGATGACACAGAGGGGTGATCACTGTTAGGGACCCCAGTCTCCTTCCTCAAACACTGGGCTCGAGTCTTTTGGCAGAAGGCCGCCCTTCCTTTATCCATCTTACAATGGCTCCATCAAGGGTCACATTATTCTGTCTCCTTAGTGTTCTGGTGTTTCTTTCCAAGCAAAGTTTTCCTGTCTTTACCTCTCCTCTCAGACGTCCAAAGGTTAGGGCACCTCAGCCTGGGAAGAGGAAGTATAAACCCTCATTACCAGGATGCACCTTCCCATCTTCCGGGGTGGGGCATGCATGGGTGATGGGGTGGGGTGCCCTGGGCCCTCCAGCCAGCCAGCTGGGAGGGAGACGTGGCCCAGGGGTGGTGTCCACATGCTGGAGAGGCAGGGCAGAGGGGCTTCAGACTGCAGCAAGCTACAGCTGGGAGGCTCAAACCAGCTGTTTCATCCCCGGGGTTCATGGGGGGAAACTGAAGAGCTGGGGAAGATTTAAATCAAGTTTGCAGAGGCGGGGGTGGGGGGGCGGGAGGAGGTCAGCCTCACAACAGTTTGTCTGTGGTCTCCGTCTGAGTTTTGTTTAGACAACGGAGCATAACCCTATTTCTCTTCCGTCTTCCAGCTGGTAAACAGGGTAACAGAAGCTGTTCTCAGAAAGATGCAGACATGTTTTAGGCAGTGAGTCAGACCTCAGCCTCCTCTTGCTCCTCCAAGGAGCCGAAAGAGACTTTCAGAGTCATTGCTCAGCTGCCACAGAATGTGTCCTTGTGAATGTGCCAGTGGCCCTGGCTCGGCTTCGTTTACCCAGAAACATGAGTGACCTGGGAAAAGCCCAGCGTAGGAACTTAGGACATTATTTTCAGCAAAGGCAAACACAGGAGGAAGAGGAAAAGAACCTCTCATTTCCTCTCTGAAAAGCTACCCTTCTAATCCCCCTCTTCCCTCCGTCCTCTGCTGTGCCAGTCCCAGCGGAGGGAGCCTGAGGCCAGCCAGGCGGCTGGGCGGGGAGAAGCCACCGTGGGCCTGGGAATAGTGGCAGGAATGGGAGCGGTGGTGGTGATAACAAAACAAAAACACTCCTCCTCTTACTAAGGGGAAGGTTGGCAATAAGGAGAGAGTGGACAGGCACTGTGTCCCCTCTGTCACGGCCGAGGGTTCGGCATTTCTGCACTGTCTCCTGCCGATCCTATCCTACTCCTGAGGCGGGGCCGTGTTGCCATTCTCTCTTCCTGAGGAGACAACTCTGGTCACGCGTAGGCAGCGGAAGGGCTCCTGCTCCCGTGCCTTGGCGCCTTGTCCGTTTCCCCCGTTCCCAGATGTCCCCTGTGAGAGGGAGGCGGGCGTGTTCGGTAGTCGCTGGCTGTGACACACACGTTGCAGCTCAGGACGGCCGGGCCAGCCAGTGCCTCAGAGGCCCCCGCAGCCACGTCCCCCTCGTGCGCTCTGCACCAAATGCATCACTTTCCAGGAATCTGCATCTGTTCTCAATTCCTCCCATCCCCACCGAGCGAGAAGGGGCGCTGTATGTAAACAGGGAGCCGGCTGCACAGCAACCCCTCCTCTGCTTCGCTCCCTCCGCAGCTGCCTGGCCCCTCGTGTGCATTTGCTCCGTGCAGGGAGCAGACTTCCTGCTGCTCACTTCCAGCTGCGGCTGACCACCCTGCACCCTGCTCCCGCTCCTGCCGGCCTGTCCCTGGGACACGTTAGGGCCTGCTCGTCAGCCTCTCCCCTACTCCACGGACCCTCCCCATCCTCTTCTTCCCTCTCCACCATATTCCCACTTCAAAAAGTTTTCAAAAGACATCGAACAGTAACTTTTACTAGTCTGCGGGATGGGTACCAAATAGGAAGGGGCTATGAGAGCCACTGGAGTGCTGGAGGGGGAAGGGGGTGTTAGAGGCACTCAGAACAGATACCTTAGTTTATTGAGCTTATTGTACACCAGGCCCTGTGCTCATCCATTCATCTCACTAATTCCCGCACCTCATGCATTCCGTTCGTTATTATTCCCATTTAGCTGATGAGAGAACTGAGGCCCAGGAGCTGCTGCCTCACTCTGGACCCCACGTAAACACCCTGGTACCACCTTATGTCGTCACCCCTCCTCTCCCATCAGCCACCCCTTTGGACCACGCTACTCAAGGTGTCCCCACAAGCAAATCGCCAGCCAGGCAGTTGCTAGCAGGCAACAGTTGCTCCCCAAACTGACTCCCCGGCCCTGTCTCCCACCCCAGGCACTACCACAGCATGGAAGTGTTCACCCACTACGATCTCCTGAACCTCAATGGCACCAAGGTGGCAGAGGGCCACAAGGCCAGCTTCTGCTTGGAGGACACGGAATGTGAAGGAGGTATCTTTGTGGGGGGGCTGCAGAGGGACGCCATGCCCTAACAGCTGTGCCCACCCAGCCCAGAGCCCAGGTGTGATGCTGGACCCTGGCCACTGCTGACTCCCCACATGACCTTTCTCTATGGGGGCTTCCATGGCTACACTCAGGGTGTGGGCAAGGCCTGGCTATAAAGGCGCCAGGATCCCCAGAGTTATGCTGATGGGCACTGGTAAGGCTCTAACAGAACCCTTGGACCAGAGACATAGTCCCCTCCCACTCTGGCTGCACAGCCATTCTCCCTGTGTCCCAAATCCAAGTGCCCCTGCCCCAAAGGCTCTTACCCTTCAAGTTGGAGCTCAAAGGAGCCCGTCTGCAACTCCCAGACTCTCAGCTCCCTCAGGCAGAGGCAGCACCCTGCTCACACTGCTAAGAGGCCGCCCACCGGCACTGTGGGTGCACCTGCCCGCCCGGCATGCCTGGGGCTCTTCAAGGGGAGACACAGGATTCTTCTCGGTACACCCAGTTCATAGTGTCCGACGTGGCAGCCTCTCAATAAATGTGGCCGCCACTGATGTGCCATGAGACCACACAAGTGGGTTTTGAGCACCTACTGTGTGCCGTATGAGCCGCTGGCCCAGTCAGGGTCAGACAGACCAACCAGACCTGAGCCCAAATTCAAGTGCTGATTGTCCAGAGAGAGACAAGATGACCCCACAGTAAGCTAAACATTAAATGTCATGGCTTTTCCCGACAAGCATGAGCTTCGTTCCCAGGCCAGTGGTTCCTCAGAAAGGCCAAGGTGGGCCATAGTGGCCAGGGAAGGCTTCGTGGAGGAGGGGGACCCTGGCTGTGGGGATGTGGGGAGGAAATTGGGTATGGGGTTCTATTGAAAGAGGGGATCAGACACCACACAATGGGGTGGCATGCTGAGCCCTGCTGAAGCTGAGGCTGGGGGGCTTGGGGAAGGAAGGGAGACGCTGAGGGTGGAGTCTGGGATGTCACCCACCCAGCAGGGCTGTTTGAGGTCCTGTGGGGAGGGTGGCACAGAGGGCGGAGGCACCACGTGTGCCTGGTGATGGGTTCCCTCGGCACCTGCCTGCAGACATCCAGAAGAATTACGAGTGTGCCAACTTTGGCGAGCAGGGCATCACCATGGGCTGCTGGGACGTGTACCGCCATGACATCGACTGCCAGTGGGTGGACATCACTGACGTGCCACCTGGAGACTACCTGTTTCAGGTGAGGGCGTAGGAAGGCGTTCTGGGCCCCGGCGGATGGAAGGAAGGGTCTTTTTCCCAGAGAGGGGAGGGCAGCCTCCTTTCTGTTGGTGCCCAAACAAAACACGTACATGGAGGCCAGGCTGTCTAAAGTGCAGGAGTCCTGCGCCCCGAGGCCTGTGCGCTCAGTCCGGGAACCTGAGTATGTGAGGCAGGCAGGCTGGGCAGGGCGGGGGCGGGAGGGGGACTGCAGACCTGAGACGTTGGCACTCAATTCACTTAACATCTGGTGCTTTCAAATCAAAATGCATCTGCAGCCAGACGTGGTCCTCAGGCCAGGAATCTGTCCCACAGGTGCTAAGGCCACCAGCCCTGTTTGCTCCCCTTGGAGCTACACTCTCAGCCCTCAACCCCACCCCAGGCTTCTCCCGGCGTCCTCACCCTGCCGTGGTCTGTGCTGTCAAGGCTGAAAGCAGTCACAGAAAAAGGCTGTTATAACGGGAGCATGTCTGGCACTAGAGACAACCTGTCCAGTGACTGTGCACTTGCCAGGGCTTCCACGTACTCCGTCTCAGGGAAAGGCCAGCCCTGGGGAGGAACCAAGGAGGCTTGGCCCCCCACCTTCCTGCAAGTGGCTGTATGCTCCAGCCAGGGCCCTGACCAGTGGGAGACAAGCCCGCCCCGGGTCTCCCCTCCTGGCTTGCAGGTGCACTTGTGCCCTTACAGGCTTCCTCACACCCTCTCATTTCCCCACCTTCTTGCTTTCCAGCTTGCCCCATGGGTGGCAAAGAAATGTGTCATTGTGCCTTGAAAGCTTTCCCCAGGGGGCACTCAGCCAGCCCAGGGCCCCGCCCACAGTCCCCACCCAATGGCAGCCCTGGGATGAACCAACACCTGCAGAGAAGTAACCACAGAGGGACTTCAAGAGTCTCCCTGGCAATTTCAGAGGCTAGGAATCAGACAGCCAAGCACTTTTCCACCCACAAGCCCAAAACCGCAGACTTGGAGCGGCCCCGCCAAAGGGCAGTGCTCTGTGTTTTAAAAACGGAACCTCTGTGTCTGTGCACGTACGCCGTGGAGGGCGGCTTGCTTTGGAGGTTTGCTGTCACTTTGCTGGGTGCGTGCGTCCCATCGTGCATTCTGTCCTGACGGTGCCCTCTGTGTAATGACTGGCCCAGCGGAGACCGATGGCAGGCACTGCCTGGTGTCATCACCAGCGATGGCATCACTGTTACTCATCTGACAGCCAGGCAAACCCAGCTCACGCCTACTCTATAGTCTGCGTTCTCCTGAACTATACAACTCACAAATTAGTGCACTGTGGGCAAGTCAATGCCTCTGATTAATGGAGAAGAATATTTCCCTTGGGGTAGACACGAAGCTTCAGTAGTGCAGCCCTCCCCATCCCCACGTGGATCCCCATGCAGACATCAGAAAGGCTGCATGTGGCGGGGGCGGAGGGCAGCAGGCCCCAGGCAGAGGGGCTGTGCGCCAAGGCTGAGGTGCTGCATGGGTGACTAGGTTCCTGGAGGCCTTGCTCTAGCTGCCTTCTCACCGTCCCTGGATTCACAGCAGATCTTTTATCTAATAAACTAAAGCCCCGTCCCACAGGTCCTCTCCAGGTTTGGAATCATAGAATGAGAATCCAATGGGATCGTGGAGACCACACATTTCAGTCCCCACCTCCACCCCAAGTGGGTCAAGCTGACCCCGGTGGCCCCCGAGATGAGCCGGGGCGGTACCTGCTGTCCTCGTGGCTACACTGTGGGGTGGGCTCCCTGGGGGCGCAGCTATCTGTGGGCAAGGCCTCAGTGGGCGGGGTTTGTTTGCCTTGTGCTATGAGTCATGTGTGGCTGGGGGCAGGCCACAGGGGACAGCTAGGTTGTTGGGTAGAAAAGAGATCAAAGAAAAGTAAGGCCTTCCCAGAGCGGGACGTTTCCGTTTACCGGCCTTAGCAGAGAAGACCGTGTCAAAGTGGGACACGGCCTAGGGCAGGTCTGACAAGAGGGCCAGATGCGGGGCCCCAGGCGGTCGGCACTTCTGAGAGGCCTAGCCAGCCTGCTAAAGGGCCATCCAAGCCCTCCTGGGCGGAAGGATCTTTAGGCCCCAAACCTAGAAACTGTTCCTTCACTGGCAGGATGCTGCTCCCTCATCCCCACAGACCCAGGGCAGCACTGTCCCCTCAGCCGCTGGGCACAGCAGGGCCCTCAAGGGAAAACCTGTCATTTGTCCCCCCCCCCCCCCCCCCCCCCCCCGCCCCCGCTCACCCACGGCTCAGGGGCAGCTCTGGTCTATTCTCCCCTCCCCCTCCCTTTCTCCTCTGGGTCCCCCACTCCCGTCTCCCTTTCCTGTCCCTTTCTGTCCCTCACAGAAACCCTCTCTACATGATGGTCTTCCCTATTCCTGCCCTTTGGACTATGCCCTTCAGCTGGGGTGATCCACAGAAGAGGTGCAAGGGGGTCCAGTCTCCACCACAGCCCAGGCCCTTGGGCTGGCCAAGCAGGGAGGGCTCAGGGACGGCCTTGCAGCGGTTCTCAACCTGTGGGTCGCGAACAATGAAAACACATCCTGCATATCAGATATTTACATTACGATTCATAACAGTAGCAAAATTACAGTTATGAAGTAGAAACAAAAATAATTTTATGGTTGGGGGTCACCACACCGTGAGGAACTGTATTAAAGGGTCGTGGCTTTAGGAAGGTTGGGAACCACTGGGAGCAACACCAAAGCCCAGACAGCAGGAGGGACACTTCAAGTGACACCAGTGCGCAGGGCGGCCCTTCTCCCACCTCCCTCGGTGCCGGTCCTGGCCCCTCCCGTCTCAGCACGTCCTGCCCCTTCGCTTCCTCAACAGTCTGTTCTGTGCCCTCCCCAGGCCTCGACTCCCGCCGCTCCCCACCTCAGGCCTCCCAGGGCAGCGGGAGAGGGAGCCCCCTTCCGAAGGCTGCTTTAGGCAGGCTGTGTGCGAGCCACACTGAGGTCATGGGCCTCTCCCTCCTCCAGAGCCTGCCTGGCCTGCTCTGGCCCGTCCTGGGCTGGCTCCTCGTGAGCAGCTCCGCCCCGCTCCCTCTCCCAAGGCCGCCGGCTCTGGAGGCAGCGCCGGCCTCGGCAGGGCCCTGGCTGGGTGGTGGGTGGCTGAGGTAGGACTCGACAGCCAGTCCGACCACCTCTCCCCCAGGTTGTCATTAACCCCAACTACGAGGTGGCAGAGTCTGACTACACCAACAACATCATGAAGTGCAGGACCCGCTACGACGGCCACCGCATCTGGATGTACAACTGCCACATAGGTGAGGCCCCTGGACGAGCCCCCCGGGTGGGACCCCCCCACCGGGCCTGCCAGGCCCCCCACCCCCGTCCCCCGTGGGACAGGCAAGGGCGTCCCTGCTTTCTCAAGGAGCCAGAGCAGCTCCTTAATTTGGGTGCAGAGCTCGGGATGCCACCAGCCTCCCCTTCCCACACAGGGGACACACAAATGGCCTGGCTACGGGTTGGGCTTTCACACCAGCCTGGCCGAGGGGGCGGCACAGACCCAGCGGCCAGCACAGACCCCACCGCTATTTGGGGCGGGAGCTGAGGCCACACCTCATCGTGCATGTGACCTCAAACGTGGGCGGCAGCAGCCTGTGGCTCTGTGTATCATTTTCTTGCCCGGAACGAGACACTAGTGAACCAATGTGGCCTTGGTCGCCAGAAAAGCTTTCCTTGCATTACACAACCTGGGGCACGGGAGGGCGGCCGAGCCTTCTCCTCTGCAGCAAGTGGTGGTCCTCGCTCGTGGTGAGGGCAGCCTGAGCCCACGGTGTTCGTTCACCCCTTCGCTCCACTCCCAGAGCACCTGGTGCTGCCCGGTGGTGCACACAGAGGTGCCCGGCAGGCCCCCCGGTGGAGGGCGGTGGCTCCAGGCCCCCAGGCCGGCGGCTGACCATTTCATCCAGGGCGAGGGCCGCGCGTCTGATGTGCTAAACTCTGTCTCTCCAATGCCCACCCCTCAGGTGGTTCCTTCAGTGAAGAGACGGAAAAGAAGTTTGAACACTTCAGTGGACTCATAAATAACCAGCTCTCCCCGCGGTAAGGCAGCTGCGGGCCGCTCCCGCCTGCGGGCTCTGACTGATGGACGCCACCCTCCCCTCGTCCGCCCGCCCGCCCGCCCGCCCGCCGTCCGGACCCTGCGGCCACGGCCACGCTCAGGAGGACGGGGTGCCCCTGACTTGCTGGGGCTGCTGCAGAGCCCGGCGGCCTCCGGGAGGGAGTGTCCGCAGGCCGTGGGAGCAGCGCACCAGCCATCCTGTCCGGGACCCCCAGTTGTCATCAACGTGTCCCATCCAAACCACCGCCCCCCAAGCCTGACACCAACCACCCTGCTCTGCTGACCACTGATAACATGGGGCCAGTTCCTCCTCAGGTGCCACTTTGGCGACGCCAGCTTAAACCTGAGGGGTCAGGCTGATGCGCTTCTCCTCCTCTTAGGTCGTTTCCAGCCAACTTGAATGTGTAGAGCTCTCTTCCAGCTACACTGCCTCTCCCCCCTCCGTCCTACCCATGTATAAAATAAGCTGCCACATGTTTTCTGAGAGGTGAGCTCAGAGTTGGTGCTTCTCCCCGCACCCCCTGCTTCCTATTTTCAAGACATTATTATATTTTCATGGACTTTGACACACAAAGTAGTGGTATTTAATATTGGCGATCTAGGCCTTTGAAAATATAGCTCAAAGGAAAACCCGCCCACCTGTGTGGCTCCCGTTTCTGTCCTTGCGAGGCGGCGGGTAACTGCTAACGGTGCTATAACCAGGGTCCTGGGTGACGAGGACACTCGCGGAACACCGTGTCATCACGGACACTTACACATACTTGAAACTTGGAATAAAACATTGACGACGTGCGCCTGTGTTTCATTTGGACCGCGGCCCCGCCCCTGAGCAGCAGAGCGCCTGTGTAGTCGGCCGGGAGCCTTGTGCCCTCGGGTCCACTCCCGCAGAGCTGGGGTCTGGTGTGGCTGCAGGGGGTTCCCTCCATACACCCCCAAAGGAGCAATACCTGCCCCTTGAGAGCTGCCTAAGGTCACAAAAACACAAGTCACCACCTCTCCTGAGCTCTTGCTTTTTGCTGGTTTTTGTCAGGGGCACAGCAGTGGTTAGGCCCGAAGGGACATCTAGCCTCGACACGGCTCCGTCCAAACCAGAAAGCAGTGCTCCGGGGCCTGTCCGTGCAGCTGCTCTTGTGGGGGAGGCAAACTCGGTGGCCACTTGAGATTTCACCACGTGGCCTTGTTCGTGTTTATTTCTGCACGGAGCCCTTTGGAGCTGTGCTGACAGGAGACATTGGGGCCGGTCCAGGGTGGGCCATCAGCACTCCCACAGCCACAGCCTCTCTGCACCCCCCAAAGCAGGTTAGGGCACCCAGCTCATGAGGGGAAACCGCACAGGGGTCACACAACCGGTGCAACCTCCTCCCCAAGCTGGGCAGGTTCTTCGCAAAAATGCCTCCGGGCCCAGCGGAACCCCTCCAGGCAGTCTGGTGAGTGACCAGTTTCTTCAGTGTCCCCAGGTCTAAAATGGGAGGCAAACAGCGCCCTCTAGTGTCCCACGGCAGACCGTATTTTGAAGCAATCATGGAATTTTTGTTCTTAATTCTCACCCTGAGGGTATTTTTTCCATGGAGAGAGTGGGAGGGAAGGAGGGACGGAGGGAGAGGGAAAGAGAGACACATCAATTGGTTGCCTCCCACATGCTCCCTGGCCAAGGCCAGGGATGGAACCTGCAACCCAGGTAGGTGCTGACCGGGAATCAAACCCATGACCCTTCGGCATGCAGGCTGACGATCTAACCACTGAGCAACACCAGCCAGGGCAGATTATGACAACTTTAAGTGTTTATTTTTTCTCAACTTCTGGAAGTAGACCAAATTGAAGCCCACCACGCCCCACAGTGACGCTCCAACGGGAGGACAGGGCTGCTCTGTAAAGGCTTGTGGTGTTGAGGTACCAGCTTGTCACGGGGTGTTGGTCCAGGCTGGCTGGGCCTCTCAGGGCCTCGGGGAGGTAGGAGACTCAACAGCAGGCTGCTCTTTCTTGTTGTGCTGAAGCCCCAGGGCCCGGGCCACCAGCCTCCGGGCCACGGCTGTACTTGTCTGTGGTCTCTCCTTCGCCAGACGCAGGAGCTCTAAAAGGAAACCCCGTGGGGTGGGGACTCGAATTCAAGACCATGACCACCTCCCCTCCCAGTGACAGCAGCCTCAGAGGCCATCTGAGCCAACCTCTAGGACCCGTGTGCCCGCAGCCTGGCCAGATGCAGTGAGAGGAGCCCGCCTCGGGCTGCCGGGTCCTGACCTAATCCTGCCCCCTCTCTGTGCCCCGCCCGTTTCTCCACCTCCACAGTACACCTCCCTGCTCTGTAGGGCCATGTGGGAGGGAAATCATGTCAAGGTGGGACACCGAGAGCTCTGGGACAGACAGGGTATTTACTGTCCCCAAGAAGCACGGGGCAAAGGCCACACGATCCAGAGTGTGGAGGGCGTCGGCAGGCCTCTTCTGGGCCAGTGTTGCTGGCCTCTACAAGTCCCCATCATGCTTTCTGGAAAGAGAAGGGGCTGGGGAGGAGCCGTCACTTATTTGGCACCTTTTGTGTGCCTCTCCTCTCCCGGTGGGTCTGCCAGGCTCTTGTATCTACGCCGCCAGCATACTCTGTATGATCTGCTTATTGTACAGAGAAAGAAAACAACTCACAGACATTAAGTGGCTCACTCAAGGTCAACTTAAATAAGTGACAAAGCCAGGATCACACGCAGGGCGGACTTCTACCCACTGCTCAACATGGTTCCCACGGACTTGCGGAAAAGACCCGGCTTCTCCCTGAGCAGGTGTGAGCGGGAGGGCAAGCCCCAAACAGGGCAGCTGGCAGACGCCTGCTGGGCGTCCCCGGCACCCGGGTGTGGGAGGAGCACCCCACTGGCCATTGAGCTCAGGGGTCCTCAAGCAGAGAGCTGAACAAGGGGGGCTGACCGACGCACACGGCCTGCCCCGCGGGACAGCCGCTCCCTTACTTGGCCTCTGCAAGGCTTTCAGCTTCGACTGCTTGCTTCCCTGCGTGAGGGGCCGGATCTTGAGCCCTGAGAACTCCCTGGTCAGGGCTTCAGCAGCTGTGGAAAGAAAACATCTGGAGCCATCCTCTCCTCTTCCTGGGAAGGCCCCCTCAGGGCCCAGGAGCACACATACCACCCAAAACCAATGCAGCCACTTCATGCGCCCGTTCAAAGCCCAGGGACAGGGCTGCCTGGAGGCCACTGTGCCAGCTGCCCACCCACATGCCTGCATGGCCCCGCCTGGTGCTCAGAGGGAAAACCTGTGAGCCCAGCTTCCACCCTCCGCCCTGCGCTGCTTTAGACCTAAAAAAAAACAGCACTTTCAACACGTGGAAGCACCTAGGGCTTGGCCTGTGACATGTGGTCAGTGTCACCTGCACCCAGAGCCTCTGGACGGAGGGCACTAACGTGAATAGGAAAGGCTGTGACTGCCTGGCCGAGCCCACCTGCTCCCTGGGCTCCTGCATCAGGGCTGGGAGTGGGCTGCAACCTGGACCCGGGCGGTCGACACCAGGGAGACCAGGGCCCCTCCCTTTCAGTGACAGAGAAAGGGCGGAGCCCACGTGAAGCCGCCTACCTGAGGCCAGGCAGGGGAAGACGCCGAGCGCGTGCGTGTCGTCCACCCACTGAATCTTCAACTCCTTCTCTCTGAGGCGGGGAAGAGGAGGCAGAGAGACTATGACAGCAAACGGCACAACCCTTTCTGCTACAGGAAGTTCCCTCCCACCTCCAATCCACAGACACTACGAGCCCAAGACAAGTTCCATCTCCTCGGGGAAGGAGACAATCGTTCGCAACAGACCTCTGAAGACCATGTGGTTGGCTTCAGCAAGACCAATCACCTGACCAACGGTCCCTACTCCTGGGTCTGGCGAAGCCAGGACTGAGAGAGCTCAAAGTCGCAACACCCAGGGGGATGGAGGCTCCTACTGGCGCTGGCACAGCCCCCAAGGGCGTGGGGGCGGAGGCTGGAGACAAAAGGGTTGTGTGGCAGGGACAAGGGACAGGACCTAAAATCCGCATGTGTGTGTTACTGCTCCCCATCAACTTTCCTCCCGGTGCTCAGGCAAGCAGCCCCGAGTCTGAGGCCACACAGCAGCTCCCGCCCCGCTCCTCTGCGGGCCAAGGCTACGCTGGCTGAAGAAGTCACAGGTGCCCCGGGTTGGCCACGTGGGAAAAGGGATTTTTATTTATTCATTTACTTATTTTTGTTAATTCTCACCTGAGAATACTTTTTCCATTGATTTTATTTCCTTTTGTTAATCCTCAGCCGAGGATATTTTTCCACTGATTTTTAAGGAGAGTATAAGAGGGAAAGATAGAAACATTGATGTGAGAGAAACACATCGATTGGTTGCCTCCAGGCCGGGGAGGAGCCTACAACCAAGGTTTGTGCTCTTAACCGGAATTGAACCTGGGACCCTTTGGTCCGCAGGCTGACGCTCTATCCACTGAGCCAAACCTGCTCTATCCATTCAGCAAAACCGAGTAGGGCTCCATTGACTTTTAGAGAATGGAAGGGGGGGAGAGACAGAGAAACACCCATGTGAGAATCACATCGATTGGTTGCCTCCCGCACGCGCTCTGAACAGGGCTGGGGATGGAGCCTGCAACTGAGGTCGTGCCTTTCACTGGAATTGAACCCAGGACCCTTTAGTTTGGGGGCCTATGCTCTATCCACTGAGCCATACTGGCTAGGGCAGGAAAGGGATTTTTGAAAGCATACGTAGGAAAAGAGAAGGGGGACGGGAGCAAGGAAAATGAGCATTAAAAACAAAAAAAGAAGACTGGAGTTGGAGTTAAGGAATTTGGGGGAACAGGAGAAGTCTTTTCTCTGGGTATATCCCTTCAGCTCCCATTTCCACCTGATTCTTCCCCAGACTCAGTTCCTGCATGGAGATGACCCTCATTCTGTTGACGGACTGACTGGGTAGCTGGGATATGGAACAAGGAGGTGGGGGGTGGGCTGCCTGCGTCCTGCATGGGGAGGAGGGCCCCACTGGGGCTGGCAGGCATGTGGGCCTGCAAGGGTGCTGCATGTGCCAGTAGGACCAGCTCTAGGGCCTCTGGAACACACCTACAACCAAAAACCGCTCTCCTCTTCCCCCACACGGCCGGTAGGCTGAACTGCCCAGAAGTATGGAGCCCACAGCACTGGCATCTGCTTTCTGCCTTTCTTTCTAGGTGGCTGGGCACCGGGAGAGGGGCCCAACAACAAAGGCGTGTGCTAGGTCCTCTCTAGAGGGAGCGCCCCGCCTCCTCTGCCTCCCCGAAGCCTGGCCTGTACTCACTGGAACTCGGAAAATGCTGCCAGCAGGTCCTCCGTCTTGAGTGTCGAGTCAAAGTCATAGATCTCCACCACGTGGGCAAAGTCCTGCTCTCCCGGCAGCTCCTCTGTGAAGGAGGACGTGTCCACATGGATCTTCTCCACCTGAATCTCCTTCTGGGTCAGGTTGTCCGTTATCTGGGGGAGATCAGGCCGTTTAGCCAGGAGCTCTGGCACAGGGCTCCACACAACTGCTTGCAAACCCACAGAGGCCTGCAGGCTTCTGGGTGGGCAGGGGCGTTAGTGTTAAGGGTGGGTGCCCGTGGGAGCCACACCTGGCAGGAGCCTAGGAAAGGCAGCACACAGGAGTGGAAGATGGAGAAGGGCTGGCAGTGAGGGAGGGAACTTGCTTTTATGGAGTCCCCACTGGGTGACTCGCACCTACACATTATGTTTCATGGAATCCTGAAAGCTCTATTCTATATATCTGCTTCACAGAAGGGGACACTGTAAGTCAAGGAATTAAGTTATTCTGC